TACGCATTTTATTAATATCGACAATAATTGTATAATGTCTTAAAACGTTGTTAAAACGTTGTTTGTTTTGGAGCGCCTATAACAATTATTTTAAAATATCTCTTTTAAAGTTTGTATTTTATAAAATGTTCAAGCTTATGTTATTTGAGCCGCGCCATGACAAAACCGACATAAAGCGTTTGCGACCAGCATGGATCCAGATCAGCTTGCGCATCCGCACAGTCTGACCAGGATCCATGCTGTTCACTTACAAACTCTATAACAAATAAAGAAACTGATAGCGAACAGCATGGATCCTGATCAGAGCAGGCTGGCCTGAATACATGCTGGTCGCAAACCCATTATGTTGGTTTTGTCATGGCTCGGCTCATTTATTGCATGAACATTTCTCTTAAAAAAATGTTTTGTATAAATAGAGAAATTCTAAACACCTCTCGCCACAATAACTTATGTATGAAAATATGTAATCTTGGTTAGCATTCGTATATAATATGTTATTGCCACCTGATACAATAATAATGTGGCAATATAAGATGATGTTGTATGAATGATGATAGCAAATGCCTGTTTTAGCAAGAACAAACCATAAAACAAAATAAAAATATCGTGTTTAAAATGTGTTGCAAAGTCAAAATAGCTCGTGATCAATATCAATAATTTTACAACGTGTATACATTTTAGTCAAACTTCTTAAGTCTTTCTGCCAGACAACCTAAAATGTCAAAGCTTTTATTTATAGCACTTTATGAATTAAGATATCTATTATTACGCGGGAGTTAGTTCAGGAAACTATTAAATAATCAAGATAGAATATATTGCATAGAAATAGATTCCCAGAATTGCCGAAAGCAGACGGATACTATTAGATAATTGTATTACAGTCATATAAATATAAAAGCAATTCTAGATCATAAAAAGCCACAATTATTATTCGGAAATGTATTTCTATGTAAGAGATAAACATATTTTTTTTCAGAATATATTTTGGTAAGTCACGTGAATATCAAAAATATTTTCATAAAGGATGCACATGTGCTTGTATAATCATATTATCTGCCGTGGAATATTCTACAAACAATAGTAAACATCAAACTAGTATTTCTTCTAAGTAAAACCTTTACTGGGAACCATGCTTCAGCAATACACGAACAATTATTATTCTGTTGCATTGCCAAAAATAGGGAAAATGTGACTCAAAAGAAAGAAATTGCTTTTTTTACTAGCTTCTATAAAATACTTTTACTTGAAAGTGAAGACATATGAAGGGTATTTTCAACGGAAAATAATTATGATTAAATATTGGATTAAGTTATTATCGCTTCAAGAAAGTGCTATCCTTTTTAAAACATATTCTATGTTAATTGATGCTGAAAATGGACAACAAGCAGTTATTGTAGCTTAAAATTCACTGTACACAGACACAGAATATCTACATTTTCATTCAAATAAAAATATGTTGATCTATTCATTTTATTTTTTCAGTTTGTTTTAGTTTTGATTTTATTACCAGTACATTATGCATGATTAAAAGACAAAAAAAAGAAAACAAAATAATACATGTCATACGCTAGTTTTGAACTCCGATTTATTGGGTGACAGTCATCAACAACATCCTCTAGGCCAGAGAGTCTATTACAATCAGTGTTGTTAAAATAAATTCTATGGTTAAACTACTATCTTTTGTCCATCAATGTGAAGTAATCTTTTGTCCATCAATGTGATGTTATCTTTTGTCAATCAATGTGAGGTTATCTTTTGTCAATCAATGTGAGGTTATCTTTTTTCCATCAATGCGAGGTAATCTTTTGTCCATCAATGTGTGGTTATCTTTTGTCAATCAATGGGAGGTTATCTTTTTTCCATCGATGCGAAGCTATCTTTTGTCCATCGATGTGAAGTAATCTTTTGTCCATCGATGTGGGGTTATCTTTTGTCCATCGATGTAGGGTTATCTTTTGTCCATCGATGTGGGTTTTTCTTTTGTCCATCGATGTGAAGTAATCTTTTGTCCATCGATGTGAAGTAATCTTTTGTCCATCGATGTTGGGTTATCTTTTGTCCATCAATGACAGGTAATCTTTTGTCCATCAATGTCAGGTCATCTTTTGTCCATCAATGTGAAGTAATCTTTTGTCCATCAATGTGTGGTAATATTTTATCTATTCGGTTTAAAGGTGGTGACTGCCGGTTAAATGTAAACAAAACAATGTTGTATTTTGGCTAAAAGCTTTCACGATTTTTATAGCGATGTAAATGTTAAATTCGTATAATTGAGTTACTGTTGCATTCATGAATGAAGGATATTGAATTTTATTAAAATATGTAAGTTTGAATTTGAATGTTGCATAAAGAGGTTATCTTGAACTTTTAGAATTTGAATGTGTGGAGAGACTTTTTGTGAGCAATTTGTGAGCGTAAAATAGCCTGAGGGTCTACTGTCCCTGACAAAATTTGCGGCCACGCATGACTGAGCCGCTATCGGCTTTAATATGCTTTTGTTGAACAGTGTGATATTTATATATTTATGGAAGATTTATGTTGAAATTATTCATGTATCACGATGAGCTCAAATGTAAGCAAGAAAACGCTCTTCAACTGCTAGTGAATTAGATACCAGTGACAATATTGACAATCAACCTGTTTACCCACTTTTTAAACAAAAAGGTAAAAAGACTAAAACTAAAAAGTAAAGCACAGAAATCCAAATCCTCAATCTAATAGCACGCCCAAAAATAATTGCATTATGGACGACAGCTCGGTGTATATTACTTCTGCATGTTTAAAGGAAACTTTATACGAAACAAAATTTGAAAAGCAGTTGGCAGACATCAGTTTTCAATTATCAACACTCCTATCAAAAGATGATACCACTTTCATAAAGAAAATTATCGAAGATAAAATGAATGAAATGAAAGTAAGTTTCCTTAGTGCAATGACTAAGAGAGTAGAGGTTCTCGAACATGACGTCCATACACAAGCTTGTTTATTCATACTATTTTTTTCACCTGTCGAGTAAATTGTCATTTGGTGGAATTCGAAGCTACTCATCAATACTTTTTTGTCACATGTCGAGTATCTTTGACAATCAAATTGTATGTTGTTTAGACATATTATCATTGTGTCACTTGTCTAGTAGCTTTTTTAAACGATCACCAATATTGTTTATACATGTACATTAAATCATTTTGTCACCTATCGAGTAGCTTTTAAAAGACTATCGGTGTTGTTTATACATATAATCATTGTGTGACCTATCGAGTAGCTGTTTAAATGATCATCAATGTTTGTTTATACATACAATCAATCATTGTATGAACTGTCAAGTAGCTTTTAAAAGAAATGGAAATTACAGATTGGAAATGATGCAAATACTTTTTGATCTGTTACATTTTTAAATGAAAGGGCTGCAAGCTCTGTTGTATTTTCTGATCTTTGCAATCTAAATCGTACTGTATATCTGTATGTATTTTACTGTATTAGTTTATTTTTTATACTATAATTCACCTTGCATGGCACCGAGATGCAGCGACTGCGTTTGGATTTTTTAACTTTAACAGTTTGAGTTTGATACATACGGAACTATGCATGACTAGGGTTGCATCAAAATTCATTTATGTTATGTTATTGTTTTTGACAGCCACACTTTATCCTTTTATCCTTGCATATCATGGCTACTTCCTTAATAAAAAAGTTGCCTCGACTGGGATTTGAACCCCAGACCTCTCGTACCCTAACCGAGCGCGTTACCCTTGAACCACGAAAATGTTTAACGAAAACAGCCTGAATAAAATCAAATAATTCTAATTTTAGAATATGCATTCCCACAGATATATAAATCTTATATTTAGCTCCATGGTAATCCTTATTAATTTCGAGGTATTTTCTTCACGATATACCTGTTGTCTAAAATTGACCAAAACAGTCCGACATGTATATATTCCACTACTCGACAGCGTAAAACGCTCTGAGGTATTCGGTAATCGACATCGCTAAAAATAGCATTTTCATATTCATCCGCGTAATTGGTGATTTGACAATTCTATAAGCCAACGCTACTTTTAAACTTTGAATGCGTTGTAATTTGTTTGATTCTTGTAACAAAATAAAAATATTTCTTTCTTTACCATGGCTTGTTTTAAGCTGTTTTGAGAACTACTTGTTGTTAGGTTTGTCGTGAAAATTCTGTTTCAGAGATTAAATGTCAGCATTGAATTTTCTGATCGCACTGTTATATTCCTGTCAATACAATTTATCGTATTTTTCAATAATGATATCATATCAAAAGAAAACATAATTTTATTAACAAAAAATAGATACATACAGAATCCCTAAAGAAAGCCCAACACGGCAAAATTGAAAATGTTGTAGGCTCGGTTTGATTGAGCCTGTTCTTACATTTTGCTTATAAAGTTGATATAATTAAAGACAGAGACCGCTCGACAATTTATACAAACTCGCACACAAAAAATATAAATTGAACTTAAATGAATCTGAGTAAATATGTTTCCATTAAAAGGTGCATATGAGCATTCAATTTAAGCGCATCCCTGTAAAAAATTCTCCTTGCATTTTTGAATTTATATGTAAAGACAAAGGCAGTAATTTAGATCGAAAAACGATTAGAAATATACGGATATATACGAAAATTTCTGAGCCAGTTTGACTTGATTAATTCATGAAATACTACAAAACATCTCCTGTGACCCCTAACATCGGTTTAATTAACATTTTTCTTACAAAAAGTGCTTGATTCGATGCGAGCGACAGAGTATTAAATACAACAAAACTAAGATGGCGAATGGGGCGTATATTTACATCTAGCATATACATATGTTCTTAAATAAAGTTGTTATACGTCAGCAGCAACATTTAAATTAAATTTGTTTGATTGAGCTTCATGTTGCACCAACACTGTTAAGGTAGGCAACTTTTAAGCTTTTGTGATGGAGACTTCAAATCCTATAAAATCCCTAACAGCGACACTTTTAACAACAACATCTTCAGAGAAAACATGGTGGAAGTAAAATGTACAAAATTATGGTCAAAATGCTGATGCCCACACCCACACCAATTATTGTGCCATTTGATATATTTCTATATAATATTATCATAAAGACCATTAAGGCGTAGCCTAACCCTTGACAAAATAAAGTCACCAAAAATTGGTACCACCTCAGGCATTTCGTTTTGTTATGACAAATTTTGCAATACCATTGTTCGTCTTTTTTTAGTTGGCAACAACTGACACGACAACGTCGACTGCAATTCATTGATGAATATTCATGGCTACAGGAACATTTAAGGCAAATGCACAGAGGATAATCTGTGCAACAATTAGAAGAGAGTCTAAAACAACAACATTCTCTTGTTGAATAACAAAAGAAAAATGCACAATGGTTATTCAACATTATTACCAAAAGTAAATAAACCGATAGAAGAAAAGCAAGTACACCCCCGGCTATGTAAACATTTCTCATAAAATCATCTGTGCTCAAAATCAGAATCTTCAACAAAATCCTTATAAACTTAGGACCACTTAAAAATACACTCTCAATGACATATCTACAACCATCTGATAAACGTGAAGCCTGGTTACTTCTCCAATCACGCGTACTGCAAAAATGACAGAAATGTTCGCAGTTGTTTGTAATTACCTGGTAACCATCAGGAATAAATTCGTTCTCAATTAATCCATTGGAGTAAAATTGTTCAGCCCTATCTTTTATTTCATTTTTCTCGTAAAAAGGTTCATGATATGAAATTTTTTTTATATTGTCAGTATTTATATTAAGAGCTTTCTTTTCTTTCCGCACACACTTACTGCCTTGGTTATTGTCACCTTCAGGCGCAGGAGGCATGACATGGTAAACCTGAACGATGGCCCCTTTTCCGTCATCTGTCGTCTCTCGTACTTCATTAACGATAGCATGGTGGGTATATAGATATTTTGTTACATTACGTGTTTTTGTTTTGGAAAACATATCACCTTTCATTGAAATATGATCACCGGGTTCCAGATCATTGAACGTTTCTACTGGCTCCACTTTATGGCATTTTGCGCAGCTTCGTTCTTTTCGTAATTGTTGACCTGGAAATAATACGATTAATATTTACAGTAAAAAGAAGTAATTTTGGATAACTTTAAGTTGACTTTATGTGCGTAACGATATATAATATATAATAATATATATTAGAGAATAAGACACTTTATCAAATAAAATTTTAAAAGAAAACTGAAAGAAATGTATAAAAATCACATTTTCCCGTCTTTCGTTATGACCACACACCTCTTAAGGATAATTGTGGTAGTTTGAATTTCGATATGTATAACAAAACTCAGCTTTTGAATGTAGTGCTTTAATAGAAGACATTGAACATTTCTATTTCAATGCCATTTTTTTATTATAGTCATCAAAGGATATGGCTTGTTTAGATCTTTTGAAAAACTAAAGAATTCTAACCTCTCCGTGCACAAAAAGTTTTTTTTGTATAAAACTTTAATACGGTTATCAAAAAATGTTTTCATTTTATCATGTTCATCATTTTATTAAAGAAACGACAACATTTTGATTTTCTTTTTTATGATTCTCTCTTTTTACGATTCTTTACGAATTTATAGACCTTTTTACGACGCGATCCGTTGCTATGAAAAAATTGACCGGAAGTAGTATTTTCTTGCGCATGCACAATCTGCGTAGGGCAAAAAGAGCACCGCCTTACATAGAAATGTAATAGAAATTCGCAAGTGAAAGAAAAAAATAGACAATCATATACAATAGCCTGTTACAGCAACACAAAATATACTTTTATAGCTTTGTGGCCAAGATTGCCATAGAAAGCCATGGAAAGACGATTATTTAAGAACCCCCCCCCCCCCTTACGATCACGGACCTGACATTGAGAAAATTGTTGTTAAACTGTGGAAATATATAATTAATTAATTATATATTAGCAAATAAAGAAGTCAATTTAATTATATATGACATATAAATCGAAGTTAATTATCAATCAATATGTCGGAACACGTGATAATGCATTTTTAGTATTCAGTACGTTTACCTAATTTTATCCTTTATCTGACTTGACAGTGGTGCGCCAAACAGATTTTTTTAAGTCACAAACATTTATTTAAATGATTTCTTCAAACTCTTGCGTAATTAAGATGGGTGGTGGAATAACACACTTTATCCCCTTCCTCGTAACACATGAAAATGGACGTCACGTACACTGTTTTGTTTGTTAGGATTTTTAAAAATGGCATTGTCCCAATTTGCATTCCATTCAGATGATACAAGTTTATTTATAGCCGGTCTAAAATCACAAGCAGGTCACAATAAGTCAGTCTTTTTGAAAATTTAATGATTGCGTACACTATTTGTCACTTCACAAATTTAATAAACATATAAATAAAAGTAACTAAACCCAGTACCGCATCAACACTTTGTGGAAAATGGCTGTTTTCATTTAAAAGTATCCCGATATAAATTCAAATTGTTATTAAGCTATAAAATCTGCTCCAATACCAATCAAACTTGGCGCAAATGTTGCCTGGACCATTGCCTTTGTAACAACATCCTCAGTCTTAAATGTCCTGTTACCATGGCAACGAGGGGACATCTCAACATTGCCAAAATCACTATTTTTCCATCAAAATTGATTTCAAAGTGCTACAACTTCTCAATGGATTGAGATAAAGTCAAAGGCTTTTCAGCGTTGGTTACACGTTACCTTATGAACGGTCTGGGGTCATTTTTAGCCCCTTACATGTCCAAAATTTTCTTGGCGAAAATTATTCGCCCTTTTCAAACCCCAAACAGAAGAGGACACACCCCCCTTCTGGCAACCCCCCGATGTATCTTTTGGATAGGGGAAGGTGCTGTAAAATTGGTCACTTTTTTAAACAACATTTCTCAAACAAAACAGGTGTTCGGGGCCTAAATAAGGCATTTTTTTCACCATTTGAGACAACAAAAAGGGGGCGGGATGAAAAAAAAGCGTAGACAGGCGTATATATCTGGTAACTTTCATAATTTTAAGTGATTAACTATTTTATGGTACTAAAACGTCCCGGTTGAATGATATTGTAAACTAGCTGGCAAATAACAACCGGTCACGTGTCAATTCGTTGCCAATCCACTTTCAAAGGAAAACCAATTGTAATATTATGTAATACATGGGTATTAAAATTTTACCTTTAACACCCTGCTGTTTCAATTTAAATTACTGATGAAGATGTCATTTAATGATACCTTGAACAGAGGGCTTTTGGTCATTGAATTATTAGTCCTGCTAATATTGTATATCTGTTATAAATATCAATTCACGTTGTATGTACTTACCGCTTTAATTCATCCCAAAATTTCTGTTTCTGCTAATTTTGTATATCTGTTATAAATATCAATTCACGTTGTATGTATTTACCGCTTTAATCCATCCCAAAATTTCTGTTTCCTGGGTGACATAACTTATAACACGGATTTGTATTACATTTATAAATCCGTGCTTATAATCACGTCTTTAAAAGCCTTAAAGTACGCTAAAATGTAGTCTATCGTTATTGCGCTTTTGTTCTACGTAGAATGTACATGCGCGAAATGCAACATCGGTTGCTATGAAAATTCGTACGTACTGTAAAAAGGTCTATAAGACTATCGTTAACTGTCAAAATTCATAATAAACACTGCTGCACTGCTGTTGTGAGCAGGCAGTGCAGTTTTTAAACATCATAAAATGTATTAATTTATTTGAGTTATTTTTTGTCTATAATCAATATTTTTATTCTCTTATTTAAATAATTATAATAAGTAATACTTTGCATAGGCTTTTTCACATCTACTTTTAAATAAGATTACAGTCAGCATTTTAGGGGAGGGCCTCCGATAATGTTGTTATAACTTTTGGCCAAAGCCTTTTGTGTATTTACATTAATATAAATTGTGTATTATTGTGCATTTCACACACACGCACGCGCGCACACGCACGCATAATTTATTTCATTAAGTGTTAAGAGTTTAAGAGTTTTATAACCTCTAATCCCCTTTAAAAATTCCATTTTATTTAATTTAGTTCCGCCCATTGTTATCTCGTTTAGGGCACACGCATTTCCTTTACGTTTGGACCATATGCCGCTTTTAATGGAATGATATGTCACTTAAGTGTCACATTGAAGGTTCCATGAAAACCTCCATATGAACACATCTGCGGGTCTTTCAAAATTCCAAATTGTTCCAGTTCATGTTGTATGCTGCATAAGCCGGTGCTAGAGGGCTTGAACAGTAATTTGCACTTGATAGTACCGTCCTTGAACAGGCTCAATCAAACTGAGCCTACAACATTTTCAATTTTGCCGTGTTAGGCTTTCTTTAGGGATTCTCAATTTTTAGGTATCTAAAGACCGGTTTTGTTTCAAATACTTACAAATGCATGAGTACACGGTTTGATATGCATTTATGTAAAGTAACTGACCTTATTAGAATTGTAAAAGAAATAAATTGCAATAAAATGTGTAAAATGTTGCTCAAATTGTTGATACATGTATTTTGTAATCGTATTTTGTTTAAGATAGCTTGATTTTATGAATGTTAAATAAAATGAAATAAAAAAAAGTTATTAAGCTCTTAAGACATGTTATTCTAAATTAACAAGAAAACATTTATGGTTATTACTTGCAAAATTATTGACTTTAACTTTTGATGAAGTTTCTAATGAATAATATCTTTGTAATTGTAGAATTTAAGAGAACCAAATGCATTTTTAAAACAATATAGTAATCTTACCGTCGTAGATTAGTTCCATGACTTCAGGATTTTAAAGATTCAATGAGATACCATCCACAACGAATGTCTGATAAGAATGTAAATGTTTGTATATTAACTTGCTGTATTTTGAAGCTATCTATCCCACTTTATATGTGATATGTGATCTTTCACCTTGTCTTAATAAGGCCCCGTCTACACATATTCAAGTCTTGAATGCAAGTGTCATATTATATTGTCTTGCAAAGTGAAGCACCCTACTTCAATGGTTTTTAAAGAGAAATTATGTGACATCCATGAAAAATGAGTTCTTGCGAGAAAATTAGAACACGTTCTATTTTTTCTACAAGTTTTTGGCTGTTCGGACACTGATAACACCGGTTTGACACAAAACATGTGATCCGAAGGTGTGATAGTGCTGTTTTTATTTGTTTGGGTCGTCAGACCAAACAAATAATGATAGCGAAATTTCAGACCCTGATGTTCTTATTTGCAAATACCGAAAGTAGTCCAAACTCCTCGAAGCGGTTACCTCCCTTCATATGTACATTAACGCCGAAAGATTAAGGGGAGATCACTCCGTTAAGTTTGTCAAATGACAGGCGCATTAATTTTCGTAACGAAAAAATAGTTCCCGATTGGTCGAAGATTTCTAATATTGTGTTATTCTTATAGATATACATGCTTATATTCAGCCCCATGATTATTTACTTCTGTGTTAAACAACAGGTTTTATGTGAACAAAATATATCAAAATTAATAAGGGTTACAAACTCTAATTTAGAATAATATGGTATTCTTCAGGCTGTTATCTTATAACTCTCCGTGGTCGAGGGATTTACACACTCGCTTTGGAGGCGAGAGGTCTGATTTATAATCTCACAACCTTCACCTTTCTGACATCCTGAGACCCAAACAAATTCTGCGCCTTCTGTGCCTTGATTTTATTATTTTCTGACTTTTTTGTTACTGACCTGTGAATTTCAGTAAATGTTTACAATGTCTTGGTCAAAGGAAAATATCGATAAACTGATACACAGATTAGCAAAAAAATATCAGTTTTTCAAAAGTATAATCAAAAGGGATTTTAAATAATCTTGTTGATTTAGTGAAATTAACTTTCATCAAATAAAAAATTTGCATCAATTTATAAGCTCAAAACAGTTTTCTCTCTCTCATTTTCCATCTATTTTACAAGAATATACACATTTTATTTACTCCTGGTCCATTGATTTTAGCTTATTGCATCATTTTCCCGCATGTTAACAGAAACATGATAGTATTGCAAAGACAAAGGTATAAATCCTGGGCAATCTTAATAAAACATTTCAGTAAAAATTGTGCCTGATTATATATTGAATGGGCCATTTATTTAGCTTATCTAATTGTGACATACATGTAAGAAATTTGACTAGGTTTAGATACGGCCTAATCGTTCGGTATAGATCCAAGGATGGCTAGCTCAATTTGTTAAGGAGTAAAACCTGAGGTAATATAAAAAAATCGCATATATCAGGAACTAATATAGCCCATGCTGATCTGTTTTGAATACTTTATCCGATGGATATCTCAAATTTGCCAAAATAATGCAGTTAAAGGCAAAAGCATAGCAGACACTCCATACTTGGAGCAAAAGCATGGTAGGCACGATTCATTTTTAGCAAAATCATTTATTATATATAGCGAAATCATGGGATACATGACGGATAAGTTGCAACAGCATGAAAATACGGCAGGTTTATAGCGAAATCATAGCAGAATGGGCAGATTATTAGCGAAAGTTTGCAGACAAGGCAGATATACAACAAAGTCATTGCAGGCACGGCAAATTAAAAGCGAAAGCATGTCAGACAGGACAGATTATGCGATATGATGGTAGACTATCGCTTCAGTCAATATGTCATCTGCCGGTGAATATAACATCATATGCAATGGCACACTAGTCAATAATTGTATAATATTCATTATTATGAATGAGCAATAAAGCTTCGCACGGACGCGCCTTCCTAAGAAGAAGTGACATATCAAACATTGAAATGTATTTTTTTCGATTCAGTAAGAATCATTCAAAAGTTCTTATCGTGTATATATATTTCAGTATATGGTGCCAATTTGTTGAGAAAAATTTACATGACATCAGAATCGCCAAAGCTTATTTCATAATTATCTACGGGTCATTTTTTGAGAAACACGGGTCTTGCTCTTCTTGTATATACAATGTATTTGGATATTTCTTTTTTTTACAACTTTCTGTGTGTGGACATACACTTATACGTGAATGATTCCATTCTTGATTTTTGGTGTTTTTGCAAAGTTCACCTATAGCAAAAGATTTGCGCTCAGGTCACTGGTGTAACTGGCGTCAGTGTCGTATCTAATGGCGTACCTGGCGGAACTTGCGTTAGCTTAGATTTCACACAAATCATGAAAAGAGTTAACGACGAACTTCTTGGAATATACACTCAAAGTCACTTATAACCCGACACTTATACATTTTTCGATGTATTTTCTTTTTTTTTCTCTTTTTTTTTTGGGGGGGGGGGCGGTTTTTGTTCAACTTTGGACCATACAAAATTAAACATTTCATACTTGCTACTTAGAATTTTATTTTCAATTCATTGACAAGAAAAATGAGAAAATAACTAAAAAAATAGCACTGATACACTTACGGCGTGAGAATAAGAAAATGGATGATACTTTAAAACCACATTTTTTTTGCAGACGACACAATTATGTCATACATATTCGCGACTGCAAGCAATTGATAGTGTTGTCGAACTTGTCAATGTACATAACTTTTTTTTATCAATATATCCCTTATCTTGTTCATCAATATTCATAAGTAGGGGAAGTACATAATCTGTATACTGTATACATTATAATGAATGAGCGATTTACTTACGTAAAAGAAGCGGCAAATGAAACATTGAAATGCATTTTTTTTCAATTCAGTAAGAAGGAAATAACTTAATGTTAATAACATAAAAATGAAAATTGAAGGGCATATTCACAGGAACTTTGCAGACGACACATTTGTGTCATGATGTATAGGTTTCGCGAGTTAATGCAGCAAGATTGTTAGGGCAAGAAGTGAATGATTCGATTGTTTTTTTAAGATATATATAACAAAAAAGAATTCATCATCAGTCAACATCAGTCATCATCATCATCATCACAATCATTATCATCTCATCATCTGCGAGATATTTAAATAACAGCAGAATTCTCATTTACGGTCTATTATACCCAATAAAATCCATCACCGTTTCTTTAAGTATTCTTTAAGTATCTTACAGTTTAATTCCATCGAAAACTGTCTTGAACAACCCTTCTCCTCATACTATACTACCAGTAAGGCGTCTAATGCGTTTGGGGTTAGATTTGCCCATTCTTAAACACAAGAAGTTAAGCCAGTTCTTAGCACGACGTACAAGCGTACATAGAAATTAAGTAGAAAACATCACGACCCTTGTATATTCTAAAATGTATGATGATGTCTGAGGGCAAAAAGTTAAGGATTGTGTCGTATCAGAATGATAACATCATAAGTTAACGACACAAGAAAGAACACTGAATGCCACTATTACACGTGCAGCAAAACTTTGCAGACGACACATTTGTGTCATATGTGTTTCGCGAGTTTAAGTTATTCAAATGTTAAATGAGATCAAGATGTGAATGATACGTCTGTTTCTGCGAGTTATGCTAATAATTGCAGAACAAGAATTGAATGGCACACTTTCAGGAATTAAAAGAAGACACATTTGAGTCGTATGTATTTCGCGGGTTTAAGTCTAAACAACGACCATGACACGCGGAAATCTCAACGTCATTTTCTCTTGGGCTAGAGCTTTGGCTTATTGCTATAAAGAAAAACCTCCAAAGTGATAAAATTTATAAATTGATATGGAATCATTCAAATGGTGTTTCCTTGGTTAACACCAGAAAATAGTTATTTTTACAAAAGAAAGGACAATTTTAAATTGTTGGTTGTGTAAGTACGGTGCAGTGGGTAGAGTCAGTCGCACGTCGTAGGGTCCTTTACTTAATTAATTAAGTTATTTTGGTAAAATGAATGTAGAACATTTCCTATGAAAAATTTTTGGCTAATTGATACCAGAAAAGAAGAGAAAATAAAATAAAATAAAATAAAATAAAATAAAATAAAATAAAATAAAAAAAAAATAAAATAAAATAAAATAAAATAAAATAAAAATAAATAATAAAAAACCCAATTCAATTTAATTCCCCAAATCTGTTTAACAACAACATGGTGGAAAATTAAAATTCCTTTACTAAAATAATATTTGTAAAAAGCATTTCGTTTATGAATGACATGATTAAGCACGACTTTTTATCATTTATATGATGGGTATCAAAATAAAGATATTGTTATGGAGATATTCATATTGGTCATATTATACATGCAGTCATTTCACAATTGATAATTGACTGAATTTTCTAACATGCTTCATAGAAAAGTCTGTTTATATTATGTGAAAGAATATTGCCTGCTTTCATAAAAAAAATAATACACTTTATTCAGTGTATATCTTACAAACTTTAAAGCGATAATAATAAACAATTTATCCACGAGAAAAGGGCAAGTACATGTTTAAAACAGAAATTACAAAAGGGAAGTTACTCTATAAAAGTATGAGAAATATATAGAAGGAGATACATATGTATTTACATTCATATAATTTACAGAGTTTGATATAAATTGTTTTTTTTAGCAATATCTTAACTGATTATTCTAAACTATCTTTATATAATGAATGAATATATCCCAAAAGTTAAAAAACTATTCTTACGACAATTAATCAGTACATATGACTTTAAATACTCTATTCAATTGCTATGCAAAGATCCATTTAACCAATAATATGTCACCCTGTTCGGTCGTTTGGTCTAGTGCACTAGAAGTGCACACGATGTGCACTTCTATTTCAGGTCTAGTGCTCTAGAAGTGCACAACGGGGGGATCTTTAGTTTTAACTCAACTGTATTTCCTTTTTAACACCCACATTATAAGTAAAAACTTTAGCAATTAGTATTTCCAGGATTATTTCTACATAAAACTTAAAATTATATTGCTGTACTGTAAAGAACTGGAAAACTAATGGAAAAACGAATCAGACAAATTTTTGTTTCAACGGTTGGCTCTAGAAAATGGTGTTTTAAACGAAAATCTAATTAAGGAATTTCCAGTCCAAAAATAACAACGCCATGCAGAATTCTCACGGACATCTTGCGTGGGTCATGGAGTTTGGCCTTAGAGTATTGTGTTTTTTCCATTAGGCTCTAAATTTGTTACTTTAAAACATCCAATTTTCTTATAGTCTGCAAATGTCGCTTTGAATTCAGCCTATCGTTTGGCACGTAGCATTAAGTAGACGACAACAATATTTTCATAAAAACGCAGTCGTCTAGAGTTTACAAAATGGCGTTATCTAAAAGTAAGTTGCCGGTTTATTTCTTTTTTATGGATGGTTTCTGCAAAATGTGACCACTAACACGAAGTTATATCCAATCTTTTTGATTAATGGTATAATAGACTCTATATATAGATGTATCATAACTATATTCACGAACTGTTAAATGCTATTTTGACCAAAAACTTATGTAGCACAGAGGTCATAATTGGTAACGTTCAAGATTTAACCCATTCGTTGGTGTTGGTGTGTTTTTTAAATTGTCTGCATTAAGTTACATATACATCATAGAATTGTTAAACGTTTCGTTTCATACGGAAACTGTCTAGGTTTGTCTAAAAATGAAGTGTTTAGTTAGTGACCTGCTATGACCTGATGACCTCGGGCTCGGGTGCCTCCTCCGGGTGGGAGTGGTTTCGTCGAACTACCGGTTCGTCTAACTGATCTTCTATAGTAAAAAAGGTAGTGGTTTCGGCTAACTTAATTTATATAGTGAACAATAGCTATTGTATAATGGGCACATCAATTATCGCGGGTCTTAATGTGTGGTTTATCACACATTTTCATGCAATTAAAGACACAATATTGAAAATTTAAACATATTATTTGTTCTTTTCTTTAGTATAATAATGATATTTACATAAAATAATAACACAAGATCTCAGTGAACAAACAACATCATAGAAATATATATACGTTTAAAAGTACAACCTGAGTATACACCATGGCTTTTACGTAGTATTCAACAATATTTTTTTATTCTTTATTCATCACTTTTTATATATAACACTTAAAAATCGTCCTCATAAATCCCGTCGTTGATGTTGTTGCATCCTATTCCGGTAATGTGGCTGCACAGTCTCAGTAGTTGGGAAGTAGTCATCTCATCATCTTCGTACTTGTCCCAGGCGTCGAATAAGGCTCCATGGATTCGGGCGTATCGTGTTAACTGATCGGCTGATAAGACAAACAAACTTTCTCTGTCATCAATTATAAACAATTGATTTATTTCGTAAACCAAGCCCTAACTAAACAATTAATTTTGCAAACAAAATTATATTGTTTTTTTTTGTAATTTATTCTTGACTCAAAAATAATTTATCAAATAACGAAAAAAACTTTTCAAAATAAGTATAATAATTTTTATATAAACATACTTCTACAATATATTATATTCATTAATGATATTTGCGTCATAGTTTAATTATAACAAAATATTGATGATAAAAACACTTTACAGTATATATGAACCACGTCTACTTTGCCTGTAATTACTATATAACATCAGTTAGACGAAACCACTTTCGCACCTCTTCATAAATTAAGTTAGCCGAACCGGTAGTTCGACGAAACCACCATAATTCCCTCCTCCTGTCTAACAGTTCAGCTTCACGTTAGTTGTTGTTCATATGTACAGTTAGTTAATACTCAGATCTTCCCTAAAAATGACCTTTCTGCAATATAAATAACTTCTACATCCTTAAATCAATTGATTACATTCCAAAATGCACTGTATCTGACAGTTAGAATAGTAGCTGTACATAGAAATAAAAATTTGGGTATTTGTGTGAGCCCTTCAGGAGTTTGCAGTCAATAAAATCCAGATCAAACTTAAAGTTCCCTTCTTCGTTGGTAAGTCTTGTTTAATCATTCAATTTTATTGACTGCCTAACTCCTGATAGGGCTCTAGGAGTAGGACTCCAAATAAAATCATCCCAAGAGTCAAATTATCCAATTATACTTGTCATCTGAAACACATTCTTTATACTTCTTCAATGGAGTCCAACTAGGATCAGTCAGCTCAAGAATATACATTGGCATAAACAGCCAGTAAAAATGAGTAGTGCTGCACTTGCTTGTTAAGCACTCTTGGTGACTTTAAGGTTGATATCTTGACTACGGTATATAAAGTACACAAATATAGACGGCTGTCCTACTCTTGTCAATTCTACTTCTTTCCTAGAATTGTATGCCATTTGAACCACCTACTGTCTGCAGTTGCCCTACTCCCTACCCCAGAGTAGTTCAGTGCAACCTTATAGTCCAAATTTTTAGACGTAACCGCGGATTTGAAGCTTTTACAAGGGTCAAATCCCCTTTATTTGCATTTTCCGATAAACGTCAAACTGTAAAAAAAAAAAAATGCAATGTCCTTCAATGAAGGACTATAGATGGCAACCATATAGCTAGCATTGAACATGTGTCACCCTGGTTTTCCAGCCCCCCTGTTTTCAAGATTTTGAATATTCTTTTTCAATATTACTTATTTCCTCATATTTCCCTGGGATTAACGTCAAACTGTCAAATGTACGTTCCTTATCCAAGATTATATGAATTAGGGGTGTTACATTTATCTGTTTAAACGGTTTGGTCAATTTTTAACCAAAAACCGGTATGAAATTAAAGAACCATAAACCGAGGTTAGTAGAAGAACAACAGAAGAAGAAATTTTAGGCTGGATTTTAACATTACTTTTGTTTGTTTATGACAATATATGACATTTTGTTTGTATTTCAAATGTATTTTTTCCGATTGCCTTCTATCTAGCTTAACTGTAGGCCTACTGTATAGTACGGTCCTAATGGACGACAGTTTGTCCATAATCAGATATGTTTTGTAATTGTTTTCGAGTTTGACAAAATATGAACAAAATGTTAATGATTTAAATCTAATAATAATATTAGTATGGCCGGTTAATAAAACAAATATGTTTATACTTGGTCTTCTTCATTGACACATTCTCACAACCCTTACATGTACTACTCTGCGAAGCACCCAATGCTTATTTAACATCTATCTTGCTTTGCAGATGTGTCCGGGGTGTTTATTGTTGCTGCTAAAAGGACAGCATTTGGAACATTCGGCGGAAAGTTGAAAGATCATTCTGGAAATAAGTTACAGGAGATAGCTGCCCTGGCTGCCCTCAAAGAAAGTAAAGTGAACCCGGAGCTTGTTGGTTCTCTGGTGTTTGGAAATGTTATACAGGTGGGTGTGGCAATTGAAATTAGGTGGGTGTGGCAATTGAAATTAGATGGGTGTAGCAAATGAAATTAGGTATGTGTTGCAAATGAACTTATAAATTGTTTAAAAATATTAAATCTGACTGTTGATCTTGTAATTTATTAAAACTTTCTCACAATTATATATGCCTTTTTATTTAGAAAAGGTCAATAAATTCTAGGAAAATCAAACAAAACCTGGCTAAAGGATTCACTTTTTTTCATGTCATGCTTTTTGTTCAGGGACTGTACTGAAGTTTATGACATGCCAGGACTGAAAATATTATTTCAAGATTTATGCTCTTTTTTTATAGTTTATAAACTCTTGTATGTCAAAGTGGAATGAGGGGGGCTTCCGTGTTCTGTGGACACCTTTCTAGTTAACCAGGTTTTCCGAAGGAAAAAACTGGTTATTAGATTGAGGTATGTCGGCGGGCGGGCGGATGGGCGGGCGGGCGTAAACAATTTCTTCTGTGCGCAACTCCTCCTACATTTCTCAACAGATTTTGACCAAACTTTCACAGAAGCTTTGTCATCAAGTGCCCTGGCGCATATTGTCAGGGTTTTGCGATTAGATAATATTTGACCTAATTATGGTCCTTTGTTTTTTTTCCTTATATAGAATATATAGTGAACAATTTCTTCTGTGCGCAACTCCTCCTACATTTCTCAACGGATTTTGACCAAACTTTCTCAGAAGCTTTGTCATCAAGTGCCCTGACACATATTGTCAGGGTTTTGCAATTGGTATATATTTGACCTAATTATGGCCCTTTGTTTTTTTTCATTATATAGAATATATAGTGAACAATTTCTTCTGTGCGCAACTCCTCCTACATTTCTCAACGGATTTTGACCAAACTTTCAGAGAAGCTTGCTCATCAAGTGCCCTGGCGCATATTGTCAGGGTTTTGTGATTGGATAATATTTGACCTAATTATGGCCCTTTGTTTTTTTTCCTTATATAGAATATATAGTGAACAATTTCTTCTGTGCGCAACTCCTCCTACATTTCTCAACGGATTTTGACCAAACTTTCTTAGAAGCTTTGTTATCAAGTGCCTGGCACATATTGTCGGGGTGTTGTGATTGGATAATATTTGACCTAATTATGGCCCTTTGTTTTTTTTCATTATATAGAATATATAGTGAACAATTTCTACAGTGCGCAACTTCTCCTACATTTCTCAACGGATTTTGACCAAACTTTCACAGAAGCTTGTCATCAAGTGCCCTGGCGCATATTGTCAGGGTTTTGTGATTGGATAATATTTGACCTTATTATGGCCCTTTGTTTTTTTTCCTTATACAGAATTGAACAAATTCTGCTGTGCTGAACTCTTCCTGCATTTCTCAACAGATTTTGTTCAAACTTTCATTTTATTAACCAGGTTTTCAATTTTGAAAATCCTGGTTATTAGATTGGGGTATGGCGGGCGGATGGGCGGATGGGCGGGCGTCAAACGAAATTGTGTCCGCTCTGTAACTCTTCAACCCTTTGAAGAATTTTGATGAAACTTCAGACAAATGTTTACCACATCAAGATGACGTGCAGAACGCATGTTCCGCATGGCTGGCTCCAAGGTCAAGGTCACAGTGACATTAACATTGAAAATCCTGTTTACATGATTTTAACTTCGGGCGTCAAACGAAATTGTGTCCGCTCTGTAACTCTTCAACCCTTTGAAGAATTTTGATGAAACTTCAGACAAATGTTTACCACATCAAGATGACGTGCAGAACGCATGTTCCGCATGGCTGGCTCCAAGGTCAAGGTCACAGTGACATTAACATTGAAAATCCTGTCCGCTCTGTAACTCTTCAACCCTTTGAAGAATTTTGATGAAACTTCAGACAAATGTTTACCACATCAAGATGACGTGCAGAACGCATGTTCCGCATGGCTGGCTCCAAGGTCAAGGTCACAGTGACATTAACATTGAAAATCCTGTCCGCTCTGTAACTCTTCAACCCTTTGAAGAATTTTGATGAAACTTCAGACAAATGTTTACCACATCAAGATGACGTGCAGAGCGCATGTTCCGCATGGCTGGCTCCAAGGTCAAGGTCACAGTGACATTAACATTGAAATCCTGTCCGCTCTGTAACTCTTCAACCCTTTGAAGAATTTTGATGAAACTTCAGACAAATGTTTACCACATCAAGATGACGTGCAGAACGCATGTTCCGCATGGCTGGCTCCAAGGTCAAGGTCACAGTGACATTAACATTGAAAATCCTGTTTACATGATTTTAACTTGATTTGGCAGTCAAAGGTCATATCATCTTTGGAGGTAATTTAAAAAAGATATGATATATTATTTCATGTCTACTTTGTAACTTGTTTTTCATTATACAGAATTATCAATATAATTATAGTGAACAAATTCTTCTGTGCTGAACTCGTCCTACATTTCTCAACGGATTTTGTTCAAACTTTCACAGAAGCTTTGTCATCAAGCACCCTGGCACATATTGTCGGGGTTTTGTGATTGGATAGTTTTTGACCTAATTATGGCCTTTGTTTTTTTCCTTATACATAATATTATAGTGAACACTTCTTCAGTGGCAATTCCTCCTACATTATTCATGTTTTACATTGCACATAGTTACATTGTTTGTATTTGTATTTCAAATACAACATATTTATCTACAATGGTGATAATTGAAAACCTGGTTTCATGGCATTGCCATGTTTCTTGTTTTTACATTGAAACCCCTTTAACTTAAAATGGACTTCAAGGCTGGACAGTTTGTTTCACTTATTTAGAAGCTTAAAGTTTAAAGAAATAAATTATTTTTGGTTTTGTAGTTACTGATGTAAGATATATATGTGACATCTTCACAACAGATTTCATTTTGTATTTTACTAGACATCTCAAGATGCCATTTACATGGCCAGGCATGTTGGTCTGAAATCAGGCGTTCCTATGGCAGTACCCGCCCTGGCGGTTAACAGATTGTGTGGGTCTGGATTTCAAGCAATTATCAATGGAACTCAGGTAAAAACAAATTCCAAACATTTTATTTTCCCCCCTATTATTTTTCTTTTGTTAGACATCCACTGATGCCATGTTGGTGGCAAGACATACTGGGCTTCGATGTGGCGTGAGGATTGAAGTCCCTGCTCTTGTTGTAAACAGGCTATGTGGTTCAGGATTTCAAGCTGTTATCGGTGGTGCCCAGGTACTATAATTGTTAAAGGCACATGATGTCTCTGAAACAAATGTACTTTTACTTCTTTAGAAAGGGGAAACATGAGTTTTAAAACATTTAATGTTTTTAATGCATGATGCCTGTAACCTGAAAAAAAAATGTATTTAGAGTATGATAGATACTTGTAACCTGAAGAAAGTAGCACTGGGAAATAACTTGTGACAAATGTAGCAAAATGTAAACAAAGTAGTATTTTGACTTCCATACAAAGCACTAAATCACTTATTGCCAAAAAGCAACAGGAGAAAAATACAGTTCAAGGGTGTGTTTCACTTACATACCGGTACTTACGTTATCGTAACTCGAGTTTGATCGTAACATTTTGTGTAAGCAGAACTTAAGTAGTTATTTGAGTTTCACTAAACTTTCTTAGCTACGCTTTTCCGTAAGTTTGAAAGTAAAGTTAAGCTCACTTATTACTGACATAAATTGCATGTTCTGTTTAGTCAAACGCAACTTAAGTAAATTTACGCTTTGCCTAAGTTAAAATTTACTGAAAAAGATACGCAAAACTGACGGTTTGTGAAACGCTCGTCAGGTAATTGGTCAATGAATAAATTTTTGGAAACTATTAAAGTACACCAGAAATAAGAAAATTTTGAGAAATAAATATGAAACATTTCTGAGGCATAAAGGAACCTTTAACAAAATTAGTGCATTTTATATGGCTGAATTTTAGGCCTATGTGGATGAGTGGTTGAGGAGGCTGTCTTTGATAACTTGCCTAACACAGCTGTGTGTTAACAGGCCTTTTCCCAGTGTCACCATTGGTCTGACTCCCCAAACCATTCTCAAATATGCTTATTTTTTCAAAGTCTTAAAGTTTATGAGGTTATATTTCCCAAACTAGGCTAGGTACTTTTTCCCAAAATAGCTATGAAAAGGCCTGTTTAATAAACTATCAAGCTAGCTAGTGATTGGTAATGCTATTCAGGTGTTTGTGACTTAAAAAATGCAAGTAGCGATTAAAAGTAAAAGTGACTTAGTCTGGTTATGACCTTAAGAACTGTGCAGTGACTTAAAACTCAACCAAATGAAATGAATTGTATGGAAGATTTGTTGTAAATGTTTGGTCTAAGTCTGCTGTCCACAAAATTCTATGAATGTTTCTGTCTTAAAAAGTAGAAGCATATCTTTGAAATGGTATTGAGGAATAGAAAATTAGGATCACGTTGAAAACTATTTATAAATTGATACTTATCCATGTTTTCAAGATATTAGAAGTTTCAATGTTTTGACACCGGTATGATTTAAAGAAAATTTCCATTGGCAAGAGACCTATATAGGCTTCTGTTATATAAGGTGAAAAATCTCTGCATACACAAGTAGTTTAATGGTGATCATTGATACAATGTATATATATATATATATATATACATGTGCTATTTCTGCTTTCAGGAGATTATATTAGGTGAAAGTGATATAGCTTTAGTTGGTGGAACTGAAAGTATGAGCCAGGCACCATATGCTGTACGGAATATCAGATTTGGTACCCGGTTTGGCCAAGACTTACAGGTATTGTATAATAGTTGTTGTTGTTTCCTAAATTATTAGTAGTTTTGAATCAAGTCTTGTTAATCTGTTTGTAGAAAAAACTTGTTTCAAGTCAGAAAATTTTGTGAAAGATTCTCTTGTCCCTTACACCTCTGATTTTGTGTTATGTGTCTCTTCAGTTTTCAAATATTGATTTGGAAGTGGCTTTAAATACTTTCATTGATTATACCCCCAAAAACGAAGTTTGGGGGGGTATATAGGAGTCACCCGGTGGTCGGTCGGTCGGGCGGTCGGTCGGTCGGTCGGTCGGTCCAGACGTCCGTTGCATTTTCCTTGTCCGGAGCATAACTTGAAAACTAATGGTTGGAATTCAATATAACTACATACAATGGTCAAGCACATTGAGAGGAAGTGCAGTGCACAAGAACCATAACTCTATCTTGACTAATTACAGAGTTATTTCCCTTTATTACTTTTCCTTGTCCGGGGCATAACTTGAAAACTACTGGTTGGAATTCAAAACAACTTCATACAATTGTCAAACACAATAAGGGGAAGTGCAGTGCACAAGAACCATAACTCTATCTAAAGTAATTACAGAGTTATTGCCCTTTGTTGCTTTTCCATTGCTTTTTTTTTTTGTCCATTGAATTTTCCTTGTCCGGAGCATAACTTGAAGACTAATGGTTGGAATTCAATATAACTACATACAATGGTCAAGCACATTGAGAGGAAGTGCAGTGCGTAAGAAACATAACTCTATCTTGACTAATTACAGAGTAATTGCCCTTTGTTACTTTTCCTTGTCCGGGGCATAACTTGAAAACTACTGGTTGGAATTCAAAACAACTTCATACAATTGTCAAACACAATAAGGGGAAGTGCAGTGCACAAGAACCATAACTCTATCTAAAAGTAATTACAGAGTTATTGCCCTTTGTTGCTTTTCCATTGCCTTCTTTTTTTTGTCCGGACCATAACTTGAAGACTAATGGTTGGAATTCAATATCACTACATACAATGGTCAAGCACATTGAGAGGAAGTGCAGTGCATAAGAACCATAACTCTATCTTAAGTAATTACAGAGTTATTGCCCTTTATTACTTTTCCATTGCTTCTTTTGTCCGGACCATAACTTGAAGACTAATTGTTGCAATTCATTATAACTTCATACAATGGTCCAGCACATTAAGAGGAAGTGCAGTGCACAAGAACCATAACTCCATTTTGACTTATTACAGAGTTACTGCCCTTTGTTTCTTTTCCTTGTCCAGAGCATGACTTTAAAACTACTGGTTGGAATTCAAAACAACTTCATACAATGGCCAAGCACAATAAGGGGAAGTGCAGTGCACAAGAACCATAACTCCATCTTGACTAATTACAGAGTTATTGCCCTTTGTTACTTTTCCATTGCTTTCTTTTGTCCGGACCATAACTTGAAGACTTATTGTTGGAATTCATTATAACTTCATACAATGGTCAAGCACATTGAGAGGAAGTGCAGTGCATAAGAACCATAACTCCATCTTGACTAATTACAGAGTTACTGCCCTTTGTTACTTTTCCTTGTCCAGAGCATGACTTGAAAACTACTGGTTGGAATTCAAAACAACTTCATACAATGGTCAAGCACAATAAGGGGAAGTGCAGTGCACAAGAACCATAACTCCATCTTGACTAATTACAGAGTTATTGCCCTTTGTTACTTTTCCTTGTCCAGAGCATAACTTGAAAACTATTGTTTGGAATTCAGTACAACTTCATACAGTTGTCAAGGACATTAAAAAGGAAGTGCAGTGCACAAGAGCCATATCTCCATTTTTGACAAAATACAGAGTTACTGCCCTTTGATACTTTTCCTTGTCCGGAGCATAACTTAAAACGTACTGGTTGGAATTCAAAACAACTTCATACAATGGTCAAGCACAATAAGAGGAAGTGCAGTGCACAAGAACTATAACTCTATCTTCAGTATTTATAGAGTTATTGCCCTTTGTTCTTTTTCTTTGTCTTCTGGACTTATTACAGAGTAATTCAATTAAACTTCATCAATGGCCAACCACATTGAAAGGAAATGCAACATACATGAACCACAATTATCTTTAATTGCCCACAAACATAACTCTATGTTTCAATTCTATTACAAGGTATTCTGTTACTAGTAACATCCTCATTTCCGAAGCAGACTTGTGGGGGTATTAATCACATTTAGTGATAGTTCTAGTTTTACCAGCAGTAATAGACATGGCTTCTGTATATTTTGAATTTGAAATGGTAACACAAACATAGCTATATGAATGTTAAATAGATATTTCTACAGCTGAAACATAAATTTTCATAGTGTTTTTTATAAAAATATCTGTTTTAGTTGGAGGATATCTTATGGGCTGGTTTGACAGATTCCTATACCAAGATGCCTATGGCAATAACAGCAGAAAATTTAGCCGAGCAGTATGGCATCTCGCGTGAAGACTGTGATAAGTACGCTCTTCAATCACAGACACGATGGGGAAAAGGTAATAAATTATTTTCATGATTTTGCTGATGATTTCCTTATATTTTGATAAATCAGCTTGAAAATATTGCTTGTTTCAAGTGCTGTGTGACAGTCGTAAAAAGTTGCCCGGTACTGCAATCAGGATCATTAAGTCCAGCACTTTTAAGTGTTGAGAATCGAGTACCAATCAACCAGTGCTCGGGGGCCATGAGGGATGTTGCACTTTTTTATTATCCCTCATGGATAGACTCAATCAAACTGAGTCTGTAATTTTAATGTAATTTTGTTGTTTTGTTTTTAGCTCGACTATTCGATAAGAATAAGTAGAGCTATTGCAGTCACCCGAGCGTCGGGGTCCGCGTCGGCGTCGGCGTAACCACTTATGTTAAAGTTTTTGTAATAGTTCAAATATTTTCAAAAGCCATAGACATATGGCTTTGAAACTTTGCACACTTGTTCACCATCATGACCCCAACCTGTAGACAGGAGGAGGTAACTCTATCAAGCATTTTGACAGAATTATGCCCCTTTTTCGACTTAGAATTTACGTTAAAGTTTTTGTAATAGTTCAAATATTTTCAAAGTCCATTGACATATGGCTTTGAAACTTTGCACACTTGTTCACCATCATGACCCCAACCTGTAGACAAGAGGAGGAAACTCTATCAAGCATTTTGACAGAATTATGCCCCTTTTTCGACTTAGAATTTATGTTAAAGTTTTTGTAATAGTTCAAATATTTTCAAAGTCCATTGACATATGGCTTTGAAACTTTGCACACTTGTTCAACATCATGACCCCAACCTGTAAACAGGAGGAGGTAACTCTATCAAGCATTTTGACAGAATTATGCCCCTTTTTCGACTTAGAATTTACATTAAAGTTTTTGTAATAGTTCAAATATTTTCAAAGTCCATTGACATATGGCTTTGAAACTTTGCACACTTGTTCACCATCATGACCCCAACCTGTAAACAGGAGGAGGTAACTGTATCAAGCATTTTTTTTACTATCAAGCACTAAGAATAGTCGAGCGTTGCTGTCCTACCGACAGCTCTTGTTAATGCTTCCAAGGGACCACATTTTCCCCCAGACATTTGTATAAAATATGGCCTAATAAAAAAGTAAGGTAAAGAAGTGTACAGTTTTATTTTATCTAAATTTTACAAATTTCAATAATTCATGAATTAATTTTACAATATATTGAAGATTTAAAATTAAATAGAATAAGCTTATTATTATTAGTTGAACAGTAGAGTAAATACATATAGTTTAATTGAAGAAATACCAATGTGTATTAAAGATACTGTTAAGAATGGGTAAAAATGTTTATGATATACTAGCTGTTTTTTTCCCGCTGTATTTCAGCTCATACTGGTGGTGTCTTCAATGCTGAGATAACTCCAGTTGAGGTTAAAGGCAAAAAAGGTAAGAGTTGTCTGTCTTTGAGTACCGACCGTTTCATATTGGATGTAACTGATAAAGTATTTTATTCACTTATTATTTATAAATTGATGACATAGTTTTAGCTTTTGATTTAACAATTAATTTTGTTATCAATAGGTTGGCTAAACAAAGAAAAGAGAGGACTGAATTGCTCAAAATTGACTCTAGCCTGATAACAAAAAGAGCGAAAATCTTGTAGTTTTTCTTTTGGTCTAGTAAATTTTCTTAATATGCTGGGAATTTTACTTTGTTACTAGACTTACTTATTATTCTTCTGACAAAACTTTTATGACTAGAGCTGTTCTACTCACATATGCTCCAGTTTAACCTACATACAAGGTGAGTACTCTAATAAGGTGCTTGCACATGCATATGATAAGGTAATACTCAATTGGTAACTGGGTTCCTTTCTTCCATTGACCTTTCCAATGATTACAGTATTACACAGATTGACTGACTTGCTATTCAATTGCTACACTGGAATAATACATTGTTATAATTTATGTTTATCTGGTTTACACAAAAGAACACATGGTTAAGGTTGTGATATTGTTTGTGAGCAACTGACATTTGAACAGAAAGGGTGGGGCTAAAGTTTTCGCTGCTAAAAATGGAAAAAGTCCATTAAATCAAGTTTGAAAATCACCATAGTGATAAACACAATATAAACATTATCATTGTTGAATTTTTCAGGAAAGGAGATGTTTGAAATGGATGAACACCCTCGACCAAAGACAACTATTGAAGGTCTAGCCAAGTTACCAGCTATCTTTAAAAAGGACGGGACTGTTACTGCAGGCAATGCATCTGTAAGATGATACAAGATACAGCAAATTTTTTCATTCCGACCCATTCTTTAGACCACCTCTAAATAAAGGCCATATATAGAAAAACTTCTGCACTGAGATCATATGAGACCACAAATTGCTTTTTCCATTTGTAATAGATGTGGTCTTTTTCAGCAGATTTCAGTACTGTAACAGAATAAGACAGTAAAAAAAACTTTCCACATAGTGGTCATTTACCTTAACCTGTTTATTCAAGTTTATGATTCGTACATAATTGTTAAGCACCAGTTATTTATGATTTCGCAAAATGTTTCCTTTATCGGTGAAATAAAAAAGGTATTCAGCATTTTAACAAATTAAGGTTAAATATCCTACCAAGGTGTGAACTTATGCCAGAAATTTATGTCCTTGCAGTATGTATAAGTCTTCGTCCAGAATGAAAGCAGCAGAAAGTTTATTGAGTCATTGTTACTAAAATCCATTGTACTAAAACACTAGGTATTGTTCTGGAATATCATGCCCGAGTAAAAATAAACTAAAACACTTTAGATTCACTCACTTCAGGAAAAGGCTTTATGTAATTGTAGGGTGTTTGTGATGGGGCAGCAGCCCTCGTGTTGGCCAGTGAAGCAGCTGTGTCTAAAAATAACCTCACACCATTGGCAAGACTAGTATCCTATGGAATCGCAGGTAATTAGCATAATTATTGTTGTTTATATATTTATAACAATGATGTAAGTTGCCCTCAAAAAACTGTATTTTCACACCTAAAATATAGTGTGTTTAAAAGATGGAGTTTCTAATTTTTACAAAAATAAACACAACAAAAAACCAGCTGTTTTTGCTAAGGTACAGTCCTTTAAGTATCCTTGTTTATTTTGTCAAGATGTCAAAAATCATTTGATAATTCATTTGATACTGCCTTGAAGTGGCTGCATTTAAATCATGTAAAGGTGGTTTGTTTCATTTTCTGCATGGAATTTGGTGTCGTTGTTGTTTTTCTTTTTTTTCATTTTTAGAAGCTACCAAATCCTTTGTGTTATAAATTCATATATATTTTTTTTTAAAAAAGGGTCTCGCTACATTTTTATCTATATCAGGAATATTCCTAGATTTTATGACATATGCTTTTATTTCAGGTTGCGACCCCAAGATAATGGGCATCGGACCAGCGCCTGCTGGCAGAGCCGCCCTCAAGGCTGCTGGGCTAGAATTGAAAGACATGGATATATGTGAGGTAAGCTTGTTTCAGCTCATTTATACAGAATTCTTTGGTCATTTTATACCAGCTCTACACAATATTCCAAAATATATTTGGTTGAGTTAGAACTTCTTGAATTCTCACACTTTTACTTTAAGGGAGTGAAAAGGTGTTTCTTATGCCCTCACTGTTAAGGGGGTAGGGAAGGGGGGACATAGATTTGCTATAGTCTGTCAGATTGTATGTCTGTAGATGACAAAATAGTGGAATGTGGTGCATTATTCATGACTTAAATTATGCTTGTAGGTGCATTCAAGATCTTTTCTGTGCCTGAGAACTTTTATATTTGCTATATGAGCTTATTTAATTGGCCATAAATTTTCTGTTGTTACCTGCAAATTTTTTTTTTCTGGCAGCTGACTACTTTTGTTACTTTCAGTTCTTTGTGACAAATTTATTTCTTTTGCTCATTTAATATCATATGTTATATTCTCAGGTGAATGAAGCCTTTGCCCCACAGTATCTGGCTGTAGAGAAGGAACTGGGTTTGAATCCAGAGATTACCAATATGAATGGAGGTGCCATAGCCCTTGGCCACCCATTGGGTGCTTCTGGGGCAAGGATCACAGGCCATCTTGCACATGAATTAAAGTGAGTGGTGTTATGAATAATATTAAATTTCTTTTTCTTTTAATTCTTATAATATTAAAGTAAAATCTTTGCATTTTTCGCTCACCTGTCATAAAGTGCTTTTGTGATCACAATTTGTCCGGTGTCCGTCCCTCTGTAAATTTTTACTTTAAACAACATCTCATAAACTGCAAAGCCAATTCATTTAAACTTCACAGGAATGTGCCTTTGGTGGTCACCTTTAAGAATTGTTCAAAGAATTTAATTCCATGCGAAAGAAAAAACTTAAAAAAAAATTATTTTAAAACATCAATAAAGCTAGAGCTTAGATATTTGGCATGAAACATCTTCTAGTGAGTGTCTACCAAGTCTGTTCAAGTAAGAGACCTGGGGTCAAAATTGGCCCAGCCACAGGGGGTCATTGATTTTCCTTATATGTATATAGAAGAAACCTAAGAATTCTTCTTTTAAGAATTCCAAATAGCTAGAGCTTAGATATTAAGCATGAAACATCTTCTAGTGAGTGTCTACCAAGTGTGTTCAAATGAAAACCCTGTTGGCGAAATTGGCCCCGCCCAAGGGGGTTATCGATTTTCTTAAAAAATCTTCTTTTAAAACACCCAAGGAGCTAGAGCTTAGATATTTATCATGAAACATCTTCTAGTGAGTGTTTACAAAGTATGTTGAAATGAAAGCCCTGGGGTCTGAATCTGCCCAACCCCTTTGGGTCATTGATTTTCCATATATGTACAAATCTTTTGGAACTGTTGTTTGCCCTTAGAAATAGCAACCAGTAATGTACTACACATGCACTATTTTAGATACAAATATGAACTTTATGATATCAGTTTAAGATTTAGATTTTATATCTACTTTTGTTTATCATTTAAAATATAACTTGTTCCTTGTCATGGCCCTCTTGTCTTATGATTGTCAGCGGTCAAGTTATAACAGTGATAAAAAATACCTAAGCACCAGAATTGAAGCAGCCCTTTCTCTAAACTGTTTTAAGCTACTGAAGTTTAGAATTTTGACACTGAAATCTCTTTAGAAATTTAATTAAGACTGGAGGCCTACTGGTATTTCATTTGTACAAATATGGCAAAGAATAAAGATTAAATGAAATTTTTATTCATTTTTATATTTCAGCCGTCAAAATAAGAAATATGCATTTGGATCTGCCTGTATAGGAGGTGGACAGGGGATTGCCGTGATTCTTGAGAAATGCTGAAAAGATTTAAAAATGACATAATATATTGGACCAAGTGCTTTATAAAATACAAAGGGTTCCCTTCAATTTACTGTGATATAACCATGACCTTGGCCTCTGTTTAATGCTTATGTTTTTTTGTTACCACATTTTTTTTTCCCGAGTGATAGGTCTTTCGAAATTTATATTTTGAAGTTTAAGTTTGCAGTTACCACTTATATTTGTTAATAGCAACACACAGCACATTTCCAGGTTCTTACTTATTTTCATCCCAAATTTTGGAAGTGATGTTAATTCATGTTGTGGGCTTTTATTGAATGAATATAAAGTAGATGTAATATGGGAAATCATAATACACATGAATTTACCTATAATTTGTTAAAACACTTGAAAATAGTGTTATTAATCTGGTTAGAAGTTAGGTGATTAAACAGTATATTAGGTGTTATTGTTCATCTAGCATGAACAATTATTTTTTACAAGAGTCTGAATATTTATAGATTTCTTAAAATCTTAATGTATTTTTTCAGAATGTTGAATTTTTTAAAACTTTGTTTGCTTTTCTGGGATTTATTAGTTTACAAGATTGAAGTTTTCAAAGAAAAAACACTCCGCTAAATTGCCTACCCATATAGATTTTGGTCCTGTTACTGCAAACCGGAACAAATTATTTAACTGTGAGCTTGTCTAGATTGTCTGAATTTTTAATTTTGGCTATGTGCTAGAAGTGTTCAACTCATCAGTGGTACCATATATATATAAGTTCATATATTGGCATTGTTATATTTATATAATTAATAAACAAAATGTCTGAATTTTCATTTTTTCTTAAAATGTGCACTTGTGTCATTTGTATTATAGTTGATATGTAAAATATGCACAGTGTTCTTGTAAATAAAAAAAAAAAATTCAAAGCCATCTTACTTTTTAAACTATTAACAAGCATCTACTGTAAAAATAAATCTTACCATATGAATGTGTACCGGTATACTGATTCACACTTTATTTATTTTATGGTGACTGAAATATGAGGAACCTAAGGAAATATCTATCATATATATATATATTTCTAATCATTTTCCAGATCATTGGACAATAAATATGTATATCATATTCAGAGAAAGTGTTCTTTTTTAATGCATCTGATTACATGTATATATTGTATAAAGTGATAGGATGCCTCTGTGATCAAGGGATGGTGGCAGACATTCAGTCACTCTCTTTGGTACAGACCAGCTAAAGGACTATGAATTCTTTCATGTGAGTAAATAAATATTCAGTTAGCTTACAGAAGAGGTGGTTTTACTAATACTTTGGATGAAAAATAATCTGCAGTGATCATAATCGAGTTCTTCCTCCACTTGTGAAGTCAACAAAAAATGCCCAACAATGGAAAAAAAAGAAAAGAAAAGGGAAACATTTATTTTCTTCAAAATACTACATAAAAGCTCACTACATGATTTTTTTTTTTTTGTTGAGTATTACACCGCACCAACACAGAAGAGGTCATATGGGGATTTCCAGCTTTACTAGTGGAGGCCCCTACATGCATAATTTCAGGTATGAACAGGTATCCAAGTAGAACTACAGAAGTTTTGTATGCTAGCTCGATAGCTTCCTGTCATGAAAGAATCTTGTGGGATTCTAACCCACAGCGGTAAGGGGGAAGTTGAACAGAGTCACAGACCCCCCCACCCCAAGTGATAGATAATACTGTATTATATTAGCCACCAGGACAGTTTACCATAGATATAAATACCTGTAGATTTTACTCACAGCCATAAAAAGCATTTAAGCCTGTATGATTTTAGATATTTCATTTTTGAACCTAAGCTTTAGCATAAACTTTTAGTCTGCATCGAGTTTAAGCTCTTGATGTTAGGTCTATGGGTCTTGTCCAGGTGCTTTTGTTAATTCACCTAGGTGAAAGTTTTAGAAAGATTTTTTTTGAATTAAGGATTTTATTTTAATTTAAAATATTATTATCAATTTTTCACATCCAATATTGTCAATGTGCATGGTTCAACTGCAATGATGGAGGATAACTAAACAATAGAAACAAACTAACAAGTTTAAACTTTTATATATATTTCTCTATAAGCATGATGTTTTGAATTAGATTTAAACATGCAAATATTTACATTTGTAAATACATACCATCTTAGAAATATTTAGAATTGAAATATAGAGTATAACCCAAAGTCATGGCTGTACTTTATATTTACATTCTATATAAAAAAGGTTATCCAAGAACAAATGCGCTTTTCCAAGAACAAATGCGCTTTAGTACAGTATACATGTGTACTTTAATAATTTACAAATTCAGTGCCAAGCAGATTCATGACATATTCAGTTGTTTGTTTCTTTTTAATTTCCATACCTCTTACAGTCTTATCATATTTATATTAAAGCCAATCCACCTTTTTTTGCCACATGAAAACAAATAAGCCCAATACTTATAATAAAGAAAAAAAAAAAAAACAGTAAAAAAACTCCTAAATTTCACTTCTTGAATGTAATTTCTGCCTTTTGATCTAACAGAAATGATATAATTATGTATTGCATACAACAGTGACAACTAACTTCACCAGTTAACTGTTGAACATAATGGTGAGACATAAGGTGAACTATGATACATTAGGTTCATTAGCAATATAATGATAGTCACCTTGATCTAGGACATGCATCTGAATCTGTGTATAAATATTATGCTCCAACAGCTTTTAAGTTCTTAGCTTGTCAAGTTCGGTAAAAAAATATACATTGTGATTTTTACAACTTCAGTTCCTTACAAATAAACATAGCTTTGAAACTAAGATTTTAAGTTAAGAAATGTAAACTCAATTTTAGATCTGAAAGAAATAGCCCAAACAAAACTAGAGAAATCTCTCCTATACGGATGACATAATTTCTAAAGTTAAGAATATAATTCAAGCCCGAGATCAGGGGATGGAAAATCTGATTTTGGAAATTCTGCGATGACTTCAAATTCACATGATTCTGTATCGCTACCACAGCTACAGTTCAAAAGAGGTGAACATTCTTCACTATCTGAATCTAACAAGCTGCACATAGTCTGTAATTCCAGCCTTTTGGCGTCATCTTCCTCAGACTTTGTTTCATTATTATCACAGTCTGTTGCTGTAGTTGGATCCCCTGGCAAATTCTGAACATATTTCTGTGTATTGACATTTTGCGGTGAAATGATATAAGATCCATATTCTTCCCAATCTGGTGTCCAATTTACCATAGGTGATATATCAGTCTTTGTGAGTTTTTGACATGGAAAAAGAACTGTTTTATGACGCGGTGAATAGTCTTTAACTGATATGAGGTCTGCATTAGGGAGGCTGTTCAAAGGCGAGCCCAGTATCAAATCAGCCCGTATGTCGCACTCATTTTGCTCCTGAGTTAAACACAGCACAGTTTGAAATGATGGACTGTTTACTGGAGTCATTGTGCCATGTCCAGACTCATTACTTGATATACAAATATCTGTAATATATAATGTGGTATTTATTTATAAGAGTTTGAACGGGACACCTGTTATTGACAGTATCTTATATTTTGAAATGAAAAACATTTTTGTTGAATTCTGTAGGCTAAATATTAGGTATATATATATATATACACATATAATGTCAGAAATGTGCCAGATCACATGCATTGAAAACGGAGTTTTTTCTCTCACTTAAGTAGCCTCTTGACTTTTTGTAAAAATTATTATTCAAATTGCTTATATGGTGAAAAAGCTGGTGTATGTTCAGATTTTTGAGAAAACTACATGATTTTAAAGAAAGTTTTTTCCTAATGGAAGATGCCTTTTAATTTACATGCCTCTGTACATGTATTAGGTGAAAAATCACTGGAAAAAAAAACCCAACACATTTTATTTCCAATTGTACCATCTGCATTGCAATTTGAGCCGGGAAGCTAAAAAGGATTGCTAAGTCTATATTTATAAGCTGGTTTCTGTAGACAGTTTATACTGTATGTGACATTATGCCCATCAAAGTGTGTAAATTACTGTAAGCAAACAGGTGAAAGTGTAAATTAATTAACATTTTTAATTTCAGTTTTATAATTAACTTCAATTCAGTTCAACTAAATAATGAAAGACTAGTGAAAGAAATGACCATGTCACTTTAATTAATCCAATTATGCCATGCATAAAAATTAACAAAATCTCATTATTTACCATCATTATTCCAGTCTGTTGTACATGTTGATAGGATAGGGTCTGGCTCTTTTACAGGGGAAGGGACAGTATTCTGAGGCTCTGTGGTTGGTAATTGTTGATCCAGACAATCTAAGCTTTCACTCATTTCACTTGGACAGTCCTCTGCAGACAAGAGATGCCTAGCAATAGCTGCAACTTCCTTAAAAATACAAGCATACTTAATCACTTTTTGGGGCCTTATCAAATAGTGCTTAATGTTAAGAATAATATATATAATATACCATACTTAACCAATTTATGATACAATTGTAAAATTGTTATTTTTTTATTTTGAGAAAAAGGTTTGTGATATTATGTATGATAATTCAAAGATAATTTTTTACAAATTCTATGAGTTGTTTTACACAATTACAAGTGTTTTTCAGACTGAAGAGGGGTTTTACAGAATGAAGAAAGGTTTTCAGTGTTTTTTTCTAACTTAATTTATTTTAGGAAGGGGCCTCAGCCTCTTTATTTTTGTAAAAATAACTGCTAATTTGTGAAGTAAAGGAGCTGGTGTAAGTTTTTAGGAAATCTGCATGATTTGAAAAAAACAAAAAAACTTTGATTCAGATTGGGAAGAGGCCTTTATTTATTGCATCTGTTATATTGGATTTTAAATATTATTAATTGAAATAAAAACTTTGCAGTCAAATTTAGACTGCGTCCCTCGAGCTGTATTCAGATATGAAGACCCTGCAGAAAGTATATACCCTCCAGCCCGTAAAAAGAGGAGGCGAAACTACAGTATAGGTCATATGGTGACCTTCTAGCTTTACTAGTGGAGGGTCATAAGGTCAAAGGTCAGGTGCCCTTCCGTGCATAATTTTAGGCATAAACAGGCACCTGAGTATAGCCACCGACATTCCTTAAGCTAGCTAATTCAGTTTTTGAGATAAATGACACATACCTGTGTTTCTTGTTCATCACTCAAGTATTGTAGGGACTCTACTGACAAGTGTGACTCAACTGATAAAACAAAGAGAAAAACTATTATAATATTTGGTATTCAAATCAACTTGTATATAAACTTTAACTAGTGCATGAAAGTCGAAAGATTTAAAGAACTTAAATCTAATATTAATGCCACATGTTTGTATAATTTCGGGCCATTTCTTTGAAGTATTTTTAAAATTTATTGAGTTCTTGAAAGAGAAAATAGGGTAGTTATAAAAGAATACGAATGTATGTTAGGCACAGTTACATGAAAATCAATTAACAAATATAAAGTTATTAAGCTTTAACATTGTAAAAAGATGATGTACTAATGGACAGACTCGATAAGATAAACCATCAAACAGACTGAGCTGTGAGTTACTCATGATTATGCCAAACGGCTTATGTATACGTTAGGCATACAATACCTAAATAAACTTGGAACAAAGTTGATCAAGAACCTTTTTTTCGTTCAATATTTGTTCTAATTATTTTGTTGAAATTTCAGTACTTAGAAAAATTTGTAATATTTTTCATGACATTGTATCATAACAATAAACATTAGTTAAGTAATTTCATGTAGTAAACATTTGTTACTTGTCTCTAAATTAAGCTTATTGTCAGGTAATGACCATTCCTTTGGATTGCTTTTGTTATTGATGGCCCAGTAACAACCTTTGCTGCTGATGAAACTGGAGTCAAAACGAATCTTTCTAAACCATTTCTGGTACAGCGCATGTCTTATTGAACTCTGAAAAAGTGATTGTCAGAATACTAATATTAAGGCAGTTTCTGCTATAATCAATTTGAAGAATGACAATAATTAATACTCTAAGCTAGACATATTGGATAGATAATGAAGATTGAGTGAATATGTTGTAGTTAAATTATCTATGAAAGAATTTCGAAAAGAACCAATTTAGTTTCAATGGTTACCTTCAAAACTGACAAAACATACAGAAAATTTATTCAAAATTGAATTAGTTTCAATGGTTACCTTCCAAACATGCAGAAAATGAAAAATTGAAATTTATGATTCAGCAGTAGAATTATTGAACACAATTTATTACAGGCACGATATAATTATTATTTTAGAAAAGTAAAAGCTTTATAGGATTAATATGTATGGTGGAGTGTCTGAATTGGGAAATCAGTAAGCATATTGTTTATTGAATACATGTATAAATCATTATTGGCAAGTGTCTTGTGGCTTATAAAGGCCACTTTATAATATTGAATCAGTGATTAATCTTGATAATTTTGCATCCCATATCTTCAACTGATAATATCATGAAAAATGCATGATATCGTAATATGTGCACCCTGTTAGACCAATGCAAATAAGTAACAAATAAACATTATGACTTATGATGTGTTGTGCATTTTTTTTTTTGTACTTACACGTGCGTCTTGGGACTACAGGGACTTTCTTGATTGATCACAGCAAAAGTGAAATCAAAAAATATTTAAATAGACATCAAAAGAAGTACTGCATATGATAACAATATTAAGTAACTTGAGACATTTCTAGTTCACTATTTATCTCTCAAAGAGATTAATAATTGTACTTCAAAACTTACTCTCCAGCTATTGATAGCAACCCTGTCCATGTATCGGAAAAATGGATACTTGTTTCTGAAAGAAAAATCAACAGAACATAAAAACTTCATAAAATATTTTAATTTGAAAATTTGAACGCTGTTCAATCTTAAAAATAATCTAATTAATTTACATGTAAATATACTGCTGATGCAAAACATGAAATGATACTAATAGGAATTGCATATATCTTATCTCAATCTTGAGAAATTGGAAAAGAATACAACCCCAGAAATGTAGTCTATTCATGAACAGTTTCTGAGTTCTGATGTAAAATTCAAAATTAACATGTATAGCTTAATTGATTTAGTTATAAATATGAAGGAGTCTGATGTTAAAATCGGACAAACTCTAGCTATATATAAAGATCTAGTATTTAACTTTGAAATAATTTAAGTCCAGCAGTGATTTTTCTAACTTAATTGGGAAGAGGCAGAAGCCTCTTAATTTTGGGAAAAAGTTTAAGTTCAGATTTTTGGGAAAACTGCATGATTTTAAAGAAAATTTCAATTGGGAAGAGGCCTTTTTTCAGAGTCTGTTATATAAGTAGGAAAACCACTGTCCAGATTATAGCACTAAGATGTAAATTATATTATAACTAAATCATTTAATATGTCAGAATAAATTAAAGAAATTATTATAGGGAAAATCTCTGTTATTGAAAAGAACAAAAACAAGTAGTTGTTTTTTTGTAAGAGCAATTTCCAACATTACACTCATATATTTACTGTGTATTGAGAAATAAATTGACTGATGAAGGGAAGCTATTTAATTTTCTGTTGGTTATATACTCCATAGATCATTATCAATCAAATTATGCAGCCCAGTTAAGTCAGTTACCAACACTTTTTCAGACTGTAAGATGACAAATAAGACTACTTACTGGAGAAAGGTGTAAATTTGTTGCACTTGCAATAGACCATCTGGGCTGCCACTGATTGCCTGAGCAACTAATTCAACAAGTTTCGTTGGTGGTTTTACAAGTCTTGTTCCTGTTAAAAGAAAATTTCAAGAAAAAGGTATAATTGGTAAAAAAGAAAGATGGATTTGTAACTATATAATGTTTAAAGCAGCACGCCTCCAGATTCATGTTAATTTTCATGAACATTTTGGAAATGTATTATAAAGGAAAATATTGTGAGATGAACAAATAAAGCAATTTACATATTGCAATCAACACTTTCAAATAGCAAGAAAATTTCCAAAATATGGTCAACATATGCACAAACCTTAGGGTGTTAGTAACATAGTAGAAATATGGGGGTACCTGCAAATAACATGTAAAATATAACTTAAATGGATCTTTAATGTTTTTACCATCCTTAAAATTTCAGTACATTTTTCTCAATTCTTGAAATAATTTGGCTCATCTGGAAGTGTGCAGCTTTAAGAATGAACTTATTAATCAATAATGTAATAGTCAGAATCAATGTATACATAAAAACAACTGTGACTACAGCTAAACATAAGTGTTTATATATTATATGATAATTTTAGTTCTAATAGCAATTTTAGGAGAATTTGTAATATATCTTTTTTCTTTACAATTTTTACAAAGTTCATCTTTTTTATAGTTTTTTTTTAGTTTATAATTTTAATGAATATTTTGTTTAAAGAAAGTGTGTTACTTTCCTTTACTTAATGGATTAGTACTACATACATGCAAAACATAAATACCTATTGGTAACATTTTAGTATTGTCAAACATGTCCTCCTCATTGTGAAAGGTCACATAGCAGCTTGTGTTTCCATAGTTTCGCCTCCTCTTTTTACGGGCTGGAGGGTATATACTTTCTGGAGGGTCTTCATATCTGAATACAGCTCGAGGGACGCAGTCCTCTGATGGAAGGATGCAGTATTTTGTATCAGGAATTGTAGTTATAGCATACAGGTCAGCTCTTGTGTGAATGTCTTGTTCTTCTTCCTATTGATTGAATATTGGTATGTTTTTTTATAACAATTGCAGGACTTTTTCCTCAATTAAGGGAAGGAGCTGATACAGTAACCCTTTAAATTTTGCAAAATAATATAGATTTTTTGCAAAAACAGAAGAAGAAACTGGATGAAAGATTAATTTTAGGGGAAAATGCATGGTTCTGAAGAATTAAATTTTTCATGAGGGCAAGCTTACCTTAAATAGTCCTGCTATACAAGGAAAAAAGACCAGGAATGCCATTGATAAATTTTGTTAATGCTTGCCATGTGATTGAAGAAAATTTGAAATGCAATTTGAACTAAAAAATTACTTTAATATAAAATAACTTTAGAATTGGATGAAAAGAAGATAATCACCTGTAGGATTAATTTTGACTTGCTTTTAATTTAATTTCTCAAACTTTTGTTTTAATAATATAAATGAACAGTAAATTGTGTGATGTTTAAACTTACCTAGAATTTTTTTAAAAGAGATATCCTAAAACCCTTTTTAAAATAAATTTTTAATATTTTTTATGAAATAAAATTGTACAGTTATAAAATAAGTTACCCTTTATATAACTTTTTTGAATACCTGAGTTAGAAGGTGTTCTTTTCTTATCAAAAGCTTAGCTTTTATGCTTTTCTTCCTATTTTCGATTACTTCAAGGACATCTTGTACTCTTTTGGGTCGGTACTGCTTATCAGCTGGAAAACATATAATAAAAACACATCTGATATTATAGACATTCTATCTTGATCTGAATCGCAAAATTTGTAAACTTGATACATATTCAGGGAATTTTTTTGGATTACTTTAATATATAGCCTATTATGGTTTATATGATTATTCCCAATTGAAAAATAGTATATTATTTTCCCAAGTTATCACTACAAAATGTTAGTCATGCAATTAAATTTGTTCCCAATTTTTAACAAACATTGCTGAAATTCCCAATTCAATGGGTACAGGTTTGGTTCCAAAAATCCTGGAAAAAAATCCTGCAATTATCCATGGGTCAGGCCCATGAGAATTTGTTACCCTAAACCTTTCCCTATAGTAGTACAACACATTATGTTTTCTCATAAACTGCTTTATCTTGAAGAAATTTGTTTTATACACTAAATTTACTTTGATGTTTAAAAAATATCCAATTGTTTTCTTTCATAGTGAAAATCTGACTAGACTTGGTCTAAGTCTGGAATTTAGTGATATAATTACGATGGAAATGGTGTTTAATCTGCTACAGGGATGAATTTAAGGCACGGGTACAGGAGTGCGTCATTGCCCATTCCGGTGTAATCAGAAAATGTTGTTCTTTACACACTGAACGCCACCAAATACTGTTTGCACCATTAAAATGAAAGTGGAAGTGCTGCTTTTTTGAATTGGGATAGAAATTGTTAGAAATATTTTCATTTCACATAAATTTCTGTCAATGATAGGAAAATCCAAAGCTGCCCTTAAGTGTTGAAAATACTTCTTTTTTTACCCCATATTTACCAGTTCATGTTCTGACAAGTGTAGATCATCTGCTGAAACCGTAGTGATGTCATATTCTGCTGAAAAAACTTAAACTGAAGCCAAAAAGGGCCATCAATTAACATACCACGGTACCATTGTGCTCTCTGTTTAGGCTCTCATTCAAAACATGGCCGACTCAGACCATAATTGTTTCTAATTTAAATCATTAAATGTTATTTTATGTAGGACATGACATTGTGTATTTTACAGAACAATTTAATAAAATAGTAAATACAAGTTCTTTTTATTTGTACAATTTGCTGGAAATAATAAGAACAATGCCAATGGTATACTCGGTCGCTATGATATCAAGGGTTCTATGATATCAAGGTATTTAAATTTTCTGTGACTTTTAGTAAAAGGAACACTTGATGATGCTAATATTTGTAAAACTTGCACACTACATTCATTTTCATTAGAGGTGTAACGATTCATCGATGCATCGCGATCTGCCTTGTCCTCGATGTATGCATCGTAATGAAATTAGGAAATTACAAATTCCAATATATTGCGATGCAATACATATTTCACCTCCCGATGTATCGATACAGCGGGAAGTATCGCAATACACTAACAATATCTTCCAGGAATATAAGGGCAAACGTATTTTTTGAAAGAATGAAGAAAGAAAAATAGCTCGGATGAAAACAATGAACAAGCGCGACTATTATCATATCATCGTTGTCATCTCGTTTCCCCCCCGCAATCATTTAACGGTAACTAATCAAGTTTTATCAATTCTATATAAATGGGCTGGTGTTGTTTGAACTTGTTTATAATAAAAAAAAATAATAAGAGATCTATGCGTTTTCAACAAACATGAATTTGTAATTTTATTTAGTCGCACTTGATGTCGGATTAAAATAGTGATGATGACAACATTCCCATGTGATATTCGTCACGTATTTATACTTTCATTTCCGTTGACATCATTTTCCCGTAAAAAAACAAAACAAACAAACACATGACTGTAGACTGCAAAATACTTAAGAGAAACTATAGTTAATCCTCCCTGGTCATACAATTCACGAGTTTTAGGAACATTGTAGTTTTTGGGGAACCAACAGACAGTGTTGTATAATGTTGAAGACCGGACGTCGAGTGTTTGCAAAATTTGCAAACTCAAAATAAAATACAAATCTTTCGAGAAAAATGAGAGAGTAACTGATTAACTGTTATTTTCACAGTTGTTGACCTAATTGTAAATCACTTGTTACTATTTTTTCACAAGAAAATTTTTTAGTGGTGTATTGTAAGACTGAAATTTTTTAACTGTCAATTTGCTGTTATGGTATAATTAACAATACCTTTAATCCTTATAAGTAATCAGAAAAGTAAATTGTTGAAAGATCAAAATCAGAAACCAAGTTATAACAAGTTAAAGAGTTTATTTTTTGTTATTGTAATAATTCTATATTATATTCGTAATTATGCTGTAAACAAATGGCCAAATTTTATGTACTAAGTCTGAAAGTCAGTATCGTGATACGTATCGCATCGCAACATAAGAATCGCAATTTGCATCGCATTTTTTCAAAGTATGCAATACATATCGTGAATCGCATCGTTTTGAAAAACAAGTATCGTGATATGTATCGTCACAGGAAAAAATGGCAATGCGCTACAGCCCTAATTTTCATCTGCCAATAAATTTACTTTGGTGAATAATGAATGTATTTGTTTGTGGCAAGAAAACTATCTTGTAAAACCTTCCTTCATATTTGACTACCATTTTCCTTAATGGTTTTTACACAGTCAATTAAAATATGTTATAAAAACATATACTGACATAAAGTCTGTTCATATAGTTTTAATTTCATAGCAAGTTAACTGTTGGAAGTTTTTCAAAACTTAACTTGAAAGTTTTGACCCATTTATCCTTCCATACTTGCTTTTTTGGGGATTACCTCGATACCGTAGTAACATCCTCTGAAATTACCCAAAATGGCAGACATTGAAAATATTCTAAAAAATGTCATTTTTATGCCCCCGCCATGTAATGGCCGGGGCATATAGTGTTACCCTGTTCCGTCCTTCCGTCATTCCGTCCTTCCGTCATTCCGTCCTTCCGTCATTCTGTCATTCCGTCATCATCAGTTTCCGTTCATTATCTTAGTAACGGTTGCACATATTCAACTCAAATTTGACATATGGATATGTCATGAGAAAATACAGGTCAAGTTCGAATTTGGTCATGGTTTGATGATTTTTGGCAGAGTTATGCCCCTTTTACTTTGAAAATAATATGAAATTTTCAGTTTCCGTTCATTATCTCCCCAACGGTACAACACATTCAACTCTAATTTGACATATGGATATGTCATGAGAAAATACAGGTCAAGTTCGAATTTGGTCATGGTTCGATGATTTTTGGCAGAGTTATGCCCCTTTTACTTTGAAAATAATATGAAATTTTCAGTTTCCGTTCATTATCTCCCCAACGGTACAACACATTCAACTCAAATTTGACATTAAATATGTCATGAGAAAATACAGGTCAAATTTGAATTTGGTCATGGTTCGATGATTTTTGGCAGAGTTATGCCCCTTTTACTTTGAAAATAATATGAAATTTTCAGTTTCCGTTCATTATCTCCCCAACGGTACAACACATTCAACTCAAATTTGACATTAAATATGTCATGAGAAAATACAGGTCAAATTTGAATTTGGTCATGGTTCGATGATTTTTGGCAGAGTTATGCCCCTTTTACTTTGAAAATAATATAAAATTTTCAGTTTCCGTTCATTATCTCCCCAACGGTACAACACATTCAACTCAAATTTGACATATGGATATGTCATGAGAAAATACAGGCCAAGTTCGAATTTGGTCATGGTTCGATTATTTTTGGCAGAGTTATGCCCCTTTTACTTTGAAAATAATATGAAATTTTCAGTTTCCGTTCATTATCTCCCCAACGGTACAACACATTCAACTCAAATTTGACATACGGATATGTCATGAGAAAATACAGGTCAAATTTGAATTTGGTCATGGTTCGATGATTTTTGGCAGAGTTATGCCCCTTTTACTTTGAAAATAATATGAAATTTTCAGTTTCCGTTCATTATCTCCCCAACGGTACAACACATTCAACTCAAATTTGACATATGGATATGTCATGAGAAAATACAGGTCAAGTTCGAATTTGGTCATGGTTTGATGATTTTTGGCAGAGTTATGCTCCTTGAACTTTGAAAATAATATGAAATTTTCAGTTTCTGTTTATTATCTCCCCAACAGTACAACACATTCAAGTCAAATTTGACATATGGATATGTTTTTGAAATGCCCAGGCCAATTCGAATTTGGTCATGGTTCAATGATTTTTGGCAGAGAAATGCCCCTTTCACTTTGAAAATAATATGAAATTGACCAGTTCTGGTCATTATCTACCCAACAGTGTTACATATTCAACTCAAATTTGACATATGGATATGTCAAAGGAATGGGCAGGTCAAGTTGGAATTTGGTCATGGTTTGATGATTTTTTGGCAGAGTTATGTCCCTTTCACTTTGAAAATAATATAGATACATCTTAGGAATAAGCAGTTTAAGTTTGAATTTGGTCGTGGTTCAATGATTTTGGACAAACTTATCTTTCTTGAATATTGGAAAAATTTTGAACTTTCAGTTTCAGCACTCATACTTTTGTTGAAATGTATGTAGCCATTATTTTGGCTACAAATATGAAATATGCTATTTTCAAAAGGTTAAGACTGAATAATTTCAGTGCCTTGAACATTGTATGAAAATGGTTTGTGTTAACATTGAAAAGTTTTAAGGGCTTTGAACTTAAAATGAAAACAATAATTTGTGCAAACATATTTGGAACTAAATATTATAACATCTGAAATTTTGGCTGCATGCGGGGGCATCCGTGGCATGATGACACATTTCTAGTTATTGGTTCTTTTGAAATAATTTTTTGACAAACAGTTCTGGAAAAGGTTCAATTATAAGATGGAAGAAAAATCTCATTCATTTATGATATTTATATTTAAATATTTTCCGATAAACTTTAAGTACTATACCGTGATATCATAGAACGGGCTACCATTAGGGGACCATCCTATGACTAATTTTACCTTTAGGGTGTGTGCTATCAATGTGGGAATTTTCTGTCACTGACTGTTTCCATTTTTCTTGTTTCCTGTACTTTCTTTTATGATGTAACGGTTTTGTACTAGCTTGCTTATGACTTTTTTGACCAAGGTATGAATCAAGATCAACTTTAATAGAATCTGCCTGTCTAGGAGATTGAGCTGAAACACTAAATGACTGATCATCTAATTGTCCATTAACATTTAGAATAAATGGTCGTTCACTCTTCTTGCATACAACATCGTTTTCTCGTTGCAAACTATTTTGAACACTTCTAATTTTAGATCCAGCAATAGCATGTCCAGTCGATTTCTCTACTTTTTGCAATGTCACCTCATTAAATCTTATTTGCGGACAATTTTCTCTTGCAAACCAAACATTAACGTAGTTTGGTGCATAAAACGTAGGTCTTCCGATCATGCTTTTTGCAGTTATCATGATTTCATTGGAATCTTTTTTTATTTTCAATTTATTTCCTCATCGTCTGCTGTCAGGAAATAGCCAATGTTCAGTTATAACAGAGAATTCTATTGGTTGTAAGAAAAAGGTGCTGATTTGATTGGTTCGTTCAAAATGAGGCTATAAAGCGGCATAGGCGCGATAAATTTAAAACGAATACGATAAGCTCATCACAATAATCTTTTCTCTTCAGAGATATGTTATATCTTCAATGGAAATTTTTTTTTGAAACAAACACTCTCCGTTTGTGTTGGTTTATGTTATGAATAAGTCACAACATAATCATTTGCTATGTTACATTGTATGAGTTCATATTCATGACGTGCAATGCGCCTCATGATATGTGTTTATGGGGGTGCGGGGGGGGGGGAAGAAGATATATTATTACTAAGAATAACCGTATTATTTGGGTCACGCCAATATTTGTTGTTTGTTGCAAAGCTAGTAAGCTCTATTTACCATTTTTAAATCAGATTGTGGTAAGTCTTCACGAAAACCATACTGTTCAATTAGTCTTTATTAAAACCATTTTTAATAGCTTTTTTTTGGTGTCGCAAGGGTATTTCAAATTCGTAAGACCCTAGTGTCACAATGGTAGGCCATTTCCATTTTCCGCAGTTTCTCAACTTAAGCACAAAAGCTGTTATAATATAGCATAAAAATCAAGCAACGAATTCTACTAATCATACTTCATATCTTCTTATGTTAACATATATATTTATTGTTTAATTTATAGAGAAAAGGACATCAATTTAACACAATGATATCCATTGTACAGTGGCTACTGTAAGTCAAGACAACATTTCGGCATTCACTTTCTTACAGTTTGACGTCTTTAAGCATTGACCTCACATAATTTCTTTTCCCCCCATTTTTTTCTTGTATCCTAACGGAATATCACATGGATTATATTGCCTCGCGGACAAAATAAATACTTCTTTCATAGATCATTTTGAAAAATATTGAACGTTATGAAAATAAAAAGACATTCCGTCATGCCATCACTATTTAATTCTTCTTACAGTTCGGTCTCTCACATATTGTAAATATATTTTGCCCGTCAATATTACCAAAATCTGACAGAGTGTACCGATAGCAGGCTTGTCAAATTACAGATCAACATCTGCAAAGCAGCTCCCTCTGTCGTGAGACAAGTAGAATTATCTTTAAATTTATCGTTTATCGTCACTGAGGTTTTTTTGACATGATGGGACTGGAAATATTCATTTCCAGATAAATGTACCATTTGATGTAGGTTTAGACCACTAATCTTTGTGCAAAATTTCAGATCATTCGCGTATTTCGTTTTTCCAGAATAATTATTCAAATTGTAAAAAAACGCTTTTCACTCAAACCGGGATAGGCAAAGCATAAAAATACGATTTTCAATGTATTTCAATGTATATTTCTTAACTATCTTTGCATATATTTCTGTTTAAAGTGTCCCAGCTCATTTATGTAAGAAATTCAAATGTTATGTTTTTAGGTTTTAAACCCTTAACCCTTTCGCTGCCAGAGGGTTATTGTTTTATTGTTCACCTATTTGCCAGAGGATTTTCTAAGAAATTATTATATTATTAATGAATATAATTATTATTATTTGTTATAAGTATTATAATAATTGTATATGTTTTTAAATCTGTTAGTATAATAATAATTATTGTTGATGGTATAATTTTCTTTATATTTATTATTATAATTATCATTAATTTATTATTATTAGTATTATAATTATAGAAACGGCTAAAGTCGTCCATATGGCAATTACGCCGAAAATAACAGGGACGGCTTAGCCGTCCCTATGGCAGTGAAAGGGTTAAGACATACTTGGGTACTGAGGGGGTTGAAACATTTGTTGCAAAGTGGTGTTTTCTCTACACTGGGCCACTCTCAGAGGTTGTACTGTATATAATTAAATGACCTTTAAATATTGCTTTTATCTAGGCAAAGCAAACTATTTTAGTAATATTTTATAACATGGGGTATCATAAAATTGCTTGTACGAGGGAAGAGTGGACTTTTCCAATTTGCATATACGGATATATCACCTTTATCATTTCAAATTAATCTAACGTGCAAAAGATTGATATATCTGGTGTAACTCTTGCAAAATGCCAGTTGTTCCTCGCAAGTTTTGTGATATAAAGTTCTTTATATGACCATATATAGTTATAATAAATTGACAATTTTACCAAACTGCAGTATGACTGTTTCCTCTTTGCCAAACTTACTGTATGAATGTTAATTTCAGAGTGTCATCAGTTTCAGGTTTGACATCGTTTGGACGAATTGACATACTTTGTATGTACAAATATAATAGAACACAAATGTGTCATTTCAAGAACTATTGATATGTCAATTATATAATCTTTTATGACCAGATCAAGAGATGGGATGGTCTAGCACTTTTATGACTAAGTTACAGTTCCCTATAAAACTCTGTACAAACTTTTTATTTTTTTATTTATGTCTACCATCGCTTTTGATGAGTATTATACTTATATTGCATTTATAAAATACATAATTTTCAATTCACGTTAGGTTCATTTTACATCAGAGGCAAAAATAATACAAGAAGTACTAGCTGTTTTGATACAATAAACATCCAATAAATTGTCATAATTGTTGTAATATATCATTTGAAATATAGCTATTATTATTATTTGCAGTTCATGAAATTCAAGGTTAAGCCTGCTATTTTTATCGTTTTATATATCGAAGCAAAAGATGTAATTAAGTGGTTTCTTCGGGCTGATATTGAAGCGACAGCGGTTATTATGCTGTTTATTGAAGCGACAGCGGTTATTATGCTGTTTCTATGGGCTGATATTGAAGCGACAACGGTTATTATATGGTTTCTATGGGCTGATATTGAAGCGACAACGGTTATTATGCTGTTTCTATGGGCTGATATTAAAGCGACAGCGCTTATTATGCTGTTTCTATTGGCTGATATTGAAGCAACAGCGGTTATAATGCTGTTTCTATGGGCTGATATTGAAGCGACAACGGTTATTATATGGTTTCTATGGGCTGATATTGAAGCGACAACGGTTATTATGCTGTTTCTATGGGCTGATATTAAAGCGACAGCGCTTATTTTGCTGTTTCTATTGGCTGATATTGAAGCGACAGCGGTTATAATGCTGTTTCTATGGGCTGATATTGAAGCGACAGCGGTTATTATGCTGTTTCTATGGGCTGATATTTATGCAATAGCAGAAATTATTTGGTTTCTATGGGCTAATATTGAAGCGACAACGGTTATCGTAATTATGTGATTTCAATGATTTTCTATGGGCTAAAATTGAAACGACAGCGCGGTAATCCTGTGATTTTTAAAGGCTGATATTGAAGCAAAAGGGACACTCGTACGACTTACAGGCTGATACTTCTACAATTTACCAGTTGCATACAAAAGTAACAAAACAATGTTGTTTAACTATCGCTGGAAAATATTTAAGGTTCTGCAAATACATAATTCTGGGAAAATAATTATATTCTTACTATGTTGGCCTAGAAAAAAATTAACTTTTCAAATAAGATCGGAAGTGGGTGTCAGGGAAAGCATGATATAGAAACCTACGACCGACAATTTACAAGTTACATAATAAGTAAATGGGGGACCAAACAATGTTGTTTAACTATCGCTGGCAAATATTTAAGGTCCTGCAAATATATAATTATGGGAAAATAATTATTACATTCTTACTATCTAAGCCTACAAAAAATCAAACTTTTCATATAAGATCGGAAGTGAGCGTCAGGAAAAGCATGATATAGAAACTTACGACATGCAATTTACAAGTTACATAATAAGTAAATGGGGGACCAAACAATGTTGTTTAACTATCGCTGGTGAATATTTAAGCTCCTGCAAATCTATAATTCTGGAATAATTACATTCTTTCTGTGTTGGTCTTACATATAATATCGGAAGTGGGCGTTAGGTAAAAGCATACTATATATTATTCATTTTAGTCAGAAAACATGTCCTTGGAAATATGATATTCTGTTTTCAATCGTTTTTGTATTTTCTGATCGCAGATCAGATAATACATAGCAAACATCCACGGTCTAACACAAAATTTCCTAACAGTCCTAACAACGCAAATTAGTTCTCACTCAAAACTGCTTAAAAACCAGCAATTTAAAAGAAAGAACAATTTTTTATTACAAGTGTCCAACAAATTACTACACCTTCAAACTTTTAAAGTAGCGTTGGCTTATAGAGTTGTCAATAAATGCACACTCACAAATTACGCGGATGAATATGATTTTAATCAATGAAAATGCTATTTTAGCGATGTCTATTACCGAATACTACACAGTCAAATAAATCTGACTGCCGAGTAGTTGAATATATAGTTTCTACATGTTGGACTGTATGGGCGAGAAGATTTTTGCTAAATTATTTACTGCAATTTTAACAACAGGTTTACCCTGAACAAAATACCTCGAAATTACCCTAACCCGAAATGCAATGGAAATTCTAAATTTAGAATGACTTGATTTTATTCAGCTGCTAAATATTAAACTTCTCCGTGGTGCAGGGGTAACGCGCTAGTATCGTGTGTGAGAGGTCCGGAGTTCGAATCCCATTCAGGTCAACATTTTTTTAATTCTTTTTTTTTTTAGTGTCTTTGTTAATGAAATAGCCACGATATTCAAGGATAAAGTGTGGCTATCATAAAAAATGAACATAAATTATTTTTTGATGCAACTCTAGTTATGCAAAATTCCGTATGTATCAAACTCTGGCGCCCTGCAAGATGACTTATAGTACATAAAAATAAACTTATACAGGAAAACACATACAGATATACAGTACGATTTAGATTCCAGGGATCAGAAAATACCACAGAGCTTGCAGCCCTTTTGATTTGTTAAGGTGATGAGTTAGTCTGAAGATTATTTACACAAGACGAATTATTACGAATAAATGTTCATTGCAAGTTGGATTAGGCACCTAATTTAGTTTTATTTGATTTTTTGTCCAGAAATATCTGATTTCTTATTTATTTACTATGCTGCGGTCTGATTTCCGAATATTCTGGTTATGTTTATTTGTCCTGAGACGTATTGAGCGGCGAATTTGACGGATTAAAGATTGATACATGTATATATATATATATATATATATATATATATATATATATATATATATATATATATTATAAAACAGGTGGAAATGAAACTATAGAATATCCTGTATCGACATGTTCGGCTAAAAGTATGACAAAAAAAGTTTATTTTAGAATGATCCATTGAACAATTATTTACTTGAACTGTAACAAGATAAAATTTGGTTCAAATGCATGATTTGGTTATAACTCTGTATTTGTATCTTGGAAAGCAATTGAACCATCTATAAAAACCTATGAGCAATGATAAACTACCGAAAAAGTAAAGAATTCGTTGTAAAGTGGCTTGATCCCGATCAAGACGCAAATCGGAAGTAATTAAGGTTCTTTTTTTTATGATTTATATTGACTTTCCATCTTCTACCGGCGGAGGAAGAACTCGGGTGCCCAATCGATCGTAGCTTCCTCGCATGAAAGAATGCAAAGTTCCTTCTGTCAGGATTCGAGCCCACAGCGAAGAGGAGCAAGTGGTTTGAAGTCAACGATCACGGATGCCCCTCGGTTCCGTTCTACTCTGGCTATGCACCTTTATTTTTATCCAGAGAAACTGCTTATCTATACATATTTGTTTAGCGCGGATTTTATTCCCAAAATACATTGAACAGCAAGAGCAAGCAAAGTTCTTAAATTGAAGAAATTAATTATATATAGATTGATATGTAGGCGTTTTCTTAAAGGGATTACTCTTTAGGACAGGATATATTGTATTTCCCGCATTGCTCCTACTGGAGTTTTATATCTAAAAACGAGACAGATATATTTGATGAGTTTTTTTTCTTTAAAAAAAGTACTGAATAAGAAATTTGACAACCCTAATGAATGCAAATTGCTTATGAAATATACAAACATATTTTTATGTGTTTTGGCTACCTACAATGGTGCCCTTTACAAAGTTGTATGAATAAATGCCGACAGTTTTGTGCTAAGTTCTTTCATTTGACATCGTCTGGTCAAAATTACAAATTATATATGCAAAAACATGATTTCCCAGACTACCATAACATATTCGTGGCATTCGAGACCTATTGATGCGCAAATCTTCCTGAATATTATATTAAATATGAGCCGTGTCACGACAAAACCAACATAATGGGTTTGCGAACAGCAAGGATCCAGACCAGCCTGCGCATCCGCGCAGTCTGATCAGGAACATTGCTGTTCGCTTACTAACCCTATTACAAGTAGAGAAACTGATAGCGAACAGCATGGATCCTGATCAGACTGCGCGGATCATCCATGCGCAGGCTGGTCTGGATCCATGCTGGTCGCAAACCCATTATGTTGGTTTTGTCATGACGCGGCTCAATTATATTGTTTAGTCTTGAATTCATATGGCTGAAGCTGAAACCATATACTTTCGTTGATTCTATCTTATTAACACATTGGTGTATGGAGATGTATTGTAGGAAAATAAATCAGGCTGTACGGAGTTTTTCAATGTTAATTTGGAAGGAACAAAAACAACACGGACTGACTGACTGAGTCGGATGTGGACTGACAATTTGACGTCCACAATGCAACATCGTAGAAAAAAGATTGGTAGATACTACATGTAAAATATAAACATATAAGGGATAATACTGCTTGAAAATAAATCATCTGTCTCAAAGTTTTCATTTAAATTTTTAAAAAAGCTATCATGTGTTGACCTGTTCTTTCGAGTAAAGCTTACATTTCATTTTTCTTGGAATAATGACTTTAAAAGGAATTAGTCTATAATGCAATATATAATTGCGTTGCTATAGAATTTATTTTTTGACATAACAACAAACCACGAAAAAATATATGAGCTGCGTCACGACAAAAACCAACATATTGGGTTTGCGACCAGCATGGATCCAGACCAGCCTGCGCATCCTTGCAGTCTGATCAGGATCCATGCTGTTCGCTATCAGTTTCTCTACTTGCTATAGGGTTTGTAAGCGAACAGCATGGATCCTGATCAGACTGCGCGGATGAGCTGGCTGGTCTGTATCCATGCTGGTCGCAAACCCACTATGTTGACGTTGACGGCTCAAATATATCATGGAAGTTGTTTTCAAATATGAAATATATAGATATAGAATGATATATCATGCATTTATATAGCATATAATAAAATGTTCTAGAACAAAATAGTATTAAAAATGTTCATACTAAATATCTTTAAGTTAGAACTTTATCAACATTTTGTTCAAGCAATATTTTATAAAAACAATATTTAAATGATACATTTCTATTGTTTTCTGTCAATATTTGAAATACTTATGGATAGCATGCCCAATGTCGACCAATTCACTTTAAACAAAGTAGGTTCACCTTGACACGACTGACGTGAATGATTTCATGGCATGGCAAATGAAAGCGATATATAATTATGTTTGTACAACCCGGTCAAATATACTGTAAGTGAATTTTGGAATAATTTTCAAGAGTGTTGTTACTTTGTTTAATTAGAATACCAGATTGACACTGCTATTAGTAATAACAGCAGTTTGATTGATAGGTCTAAGTTGTCGAGTTGAATAATGGGTCTAAATGGCGAACTGTATAAAAGAACGAGTATACGGCGGTTCTGTAAAATAATAATAATAAAAAAAAACAAAAAAAAAACGATACAAGTACGTAAATTTTTGCAACTAGCTTTTGAACTTCTTGATTAATTTTCCCTAAACAAAGTATATAAACTCAAGCATAAAAAGGAATTTCTTCGGCTGTTACCGATTTTATTTGTGGTTTGTGATTTAAAGTTCCTGATTTTCAGTTTATTTTTTTCCGAATCGGATCATTTAATGAAGATTTTCTTTAAGTTTATTGAAAAGTAGAAAGATTCTTTTGACGAAGATTTTGTTTAACATTATGGAAATTAGAGAGATTTTTGTTCAAAATTTATTTATGGAAAATAAGAGAAACTTTTTTACAAAACATACGGTACCCGCAATATCCACGCAAAGTACTTTTTGTGTACATGTTTATGCATTTTGTTGGAAGACTGAAAAAAGGTATCAACAGAAATAACAAAATTTAGAATTTTCTGCCGTGTAAAAATGTAATGAGTATGAATCTCTTTCTGTTTTGTTTAATTTGTTCATAATTTGAACTATGCATTATTTTAAGCTTAACGATTGTTAGATTTTCAATTCTTACAAAAAGAGAATTCTTCTATCATATCTGCCTAACTTTTGCCAAATAACCTTAAATCCGATTTTAAGTATTCGACCTCAGAAAGCAAAGAACACTTCATATGAAATCTGTAATAGACTATAGATGCGGTTTCAGTTACATTCAAAGAGAAGTTCAAACTGTATTTTCATTACAAAATATTTGTAACTTTTTATTGTTCTAAAATACTTAAAGATTTCTCAGCAGCTACTTGCCTCAGCTAAGTCAGTGCACGCTTTTCTCGCATTTTTATTCAATTTTTGAGCGTCTATTCGTCTGCATACCGCGTACTAAGAGATAGTTTTTCTCTCTTACTTTACTTCCGATACCGTTTCCTGTTACAATAGACTCCTTATAAATACAACGGAAGTGGAATTTTAGAAAATTAAAATCTGCACTTTAAATGAACAATTGAAATCAGGTCGTCGATGTCAAAGCAAAACACTACTAATAAAAATGTTTGAACAAATTATATAAATGTGACGTTTGTGTACATCAGTATTTGTTTAATACTTTCTCAGTGTAAGTATATGTAAATTTGACGAAGGCTTGACTACCCATCAAAATTATTTTTCAGTTACATAAATCGGCAATGAAAAGTAATGTTGTGCATGGTTTTAACTTGTTGAGCAAAAGTTTAGTTTCTTCTTTAGCATTTTATTGTAGCGTTAACATGATTAATATATGGATATTTTTGTTGACCATGAGTAGCTTTGCAAAAAGTGTTGCTCTTCTTGAAAAAGAATTATTTATAAAGGATGTTTCGTTTTCAAACCTTTTATGTCCGCTAGCTACCATAGACCTTGGGCTGCATAGTAGGGCCACAAAATGTGCTTCCGCATGTTCACAGAAACCCGCATGCAGAAGTTTCTTCTATAACAAACATGACCAACTTTGTAAAGGAGCACCAGGAATTTTAACATCAACCGCAGGATGTGCATTGCAGTCTGGTACCTTATATTTTCATACAACAGGTAACTGGTCTAAAGCATTCGCATTTGAGCCGTGTCACAACAAAACCAATATAATGGGTTTGCAACCAGCATGGATCCAGACCAGCCTGCGCATCCGCGCAGTCTGATCAGGATCCATGCTGTTCGCTTACCAACCCTTTTACCAGTCGAGCATGGATCCTGATCAGACTGCGCGGATGCGCAGGCTGGTCTGGATCCATGCTGGTCGCAAACTCATTATGTTGGTTTTGTCGTGACGCGGCTCATTTAAATATTGAATTAAGGCATTTTATTATTAGAAAGGGCATATGATTACAATAACTTTTATTATTATCCCGCGTCGAAGACGGAGGTATATATATTTGGCGTAGTTTGTCAGACTGTTCGTCCGTCCGTCTTTCTGTCTTGGTACGATGAAATCTCTTTGAGAAGTGCTGTGCCTATAAGTCATAACACTCTTTTGCAAAAAGTTTGGAGTTATTGCCCTTTGCTATGTTTATATCTTATTTTTATTGGGCATTGATAAGAAGTATAGTTGGTATTTACTTGAAACTTTATAGATTGATAGATCGCATATACGTTAAGGGCAACGTATAAAAATCATAACACTATTTTGCTTAGTTATGGAGTATTTGCCTTTTTTATTTTTTCATAATTAATTTTAGTCTATTGTTTGAATCATAAAATATGGCTTTGGATTTTTGCCCTTTGTAATTTTTCACATTAAAATTTTTCTCGGATCAAAACTTCATACCTTGATAGGTCTTATAAAATAGAACTATAATTTTCTTTTGCACCACCATCTTTCTTCTCCCTCCCGCCCTTTATTTGGGATCGGGGCGGGGATTTCAAATATTGATACAGTGTATTGGAACAGTAACTCTACAATTTATTACAAAATGTATAATATTTCTGCTCTGAGCACATATTTCTATATATGAAGTCATTCAACGGAGGATATCAATGCAACGAATTTGCTTGTGATAAATTTATGATAGAAATCATAAATATTCTTAAGTAATCAAATAATTGAACCATTGATTAATAATGGATTTATATGAATGAGTAATTGATTGATTGATTTATTTATTTATTGATCGATCGAATGAGTGAGTGAGTGAGTGTATACAATTTAAGTGCCTAAAAGTAAATGTGCAATTGATCGGGTGCGCAGGTTAATTAAATATTAAAAAATGTAATATCATTCTATAAATTTTAATGTATAGTTTATTATATGTGATAATAAGAATAAAGTTCTTAAAAACAATCTTAGATATCACGACTACTACTTCTACTACAACGACGACCACCACAGTTCCGTCGAGCCAGTATGGAAGGCCATGCACGGGTGCCGCAGATTGTACAATAACTTACGGAAAGTGTCTACGAAGCACGTGCGAATGTCAAGCAGGCTACAGTTATAAATCATCCACCGATTCTTGCGTCTCAAGTTAGTTTATGTCTTAACTTCTTACATATGCCGTAAAATATTGTCAAAATGTGGTTTTGTTAATCAACAAAGGTGCGCCAAAACTATAACATTTAAATTATGGATTAAGCGTTTTAATGTCAAATGAAAGTAGCAAAATGTAACAAAGTAGTTTCATTTATATTTTAACTTAAATACAAAATACTTAATCGCTGTAACTATACTAATTGCCAAAAAAACAAGAAAAAAAGATGGCTCGGGTAATTGGCCAATGAGTAACTCTTGGGAAACTATAACAGGACACCTTAAGTATAAAATTTTGAAAAATTAAAAATAAATGCATTTATAGGGAATGACAGGTCTTTAATTAACACAAACCTTATATTATGCTTCTTCTTGTCCTTTACATCTAAGTAACGTGTACTTTTATGAAGCAGTTTTTACTTGATTTCCCGTTGTGGTACCGTTATAATTATGTCGCAACGCAGCTAAATATCGCAATTTCCGCTAATTGTCGAACCATTGCCGATAAATGTCTAACCATTGCCGCTAAATGTCGCAACCGCCGCTAGATGTCCGTAAACTGTTGCAATGGTAACGTTAAAGTTATCTTTTGGCATGAATACGCATTGAGTAAATGTTTGTTAATATCTATGTTATTTTTGGCTTTTAAAGTGGATTTGTCTACAATGGACATATTTCCAAGAAATATTTCAAAATTGATAAAAACAATAGAAACGTACGGAAGCGTCCTGGTGCCAATTTAACATGTTCTACAAAAATTGAAAACTCCTACGTAGGAGATAGAAAAGCCTAATTAGGAGTTTATAACTCCTACGTAGGACTTTATAAGTCCTACGTAGGACTTTGTAACTCCTACGTAGAAGATAAAAAAAGCCTAATTTGGAGTTTATAACTCCTACGTAGGACTTTATTAGTTCTACATAGGACTTTGTAATTCCTACGTAGGAGATAGAAAAAGCCTAATTAGGAGTTGATAACTCCTACGTAGGACTTTAAAACTTCTAATTAGGTTTTATTTCTCCTACGTAGGAGTTATAAAGTCCTAATTAGGCCTTTTATCTCCTATGTAGGAGTTATAAAGTCCAACGCAGGAGTTATCTTTTTTATAGAACATGTTAAATTGGCCGTAGAAACGTATCATTTGAATATTCTTATATAATATTTTTTTTGATTACATACTATCAACATAAACATTTTTTGGTTTTGCATACTTTCCATCATGGATAAATTCCCTTTTTGTTTGCTATCAAAATTAAAAAAAAAAAAAAAAAAAAAAAAAAAAAACAGTAACAAAAATTGATATAAGTATAGTATGCAACTACCCTACATGTTAGGTGCTTAAAATATCATATTTTAAGTATATTGCTTTGCGTGCTTTAAAAATTTATAACTAGACAAGCGTCCATCTACTTGCCCTTCGAAGCTTTTGGTTCGAATCCCGCCAGCGACTTACGATTATTTAGGAAGCTATTCAGCTAGCTAACGGAACGCCGGCCATTTTACTCAATTTTTTGTTCGTGCACGGAGGACTACCAGTAAAACTAGAAGGTCGCTATATGATATTATTGAGTTGCTGCTACAACTAATTAAAACTTTGCCTTTTCGAACTAGAAAAGCTCAAATTACGCTTTTTGTTTCATATTAAGGCTATTGATGTTCCTTCTTTCTAAGATATGTTTAAACTCGTAATAATATTTAGAAATTCAAAGCTGTAATTAGGTTTTTTTATGTCCTAAAATAAGTGTAAAAATTTCTAATTTGTCATATCTGGGAGTCACAAATTATAAAAAAAGAATCAATGACCGAATTAAGCTTTTAAATCACCTTATTACGAGTTTATAAGTTTTGTAAGAATATTTTTAAGAAATTGTTGACATTCTATTAGGGATTTTCGACCATGCGACCACATACATGCGCCGAGGACTTGTTGAAAGGAAAGTGACCGTGCGACCACATGCACGCATCACAGGATTCCCCTTCTCCTTCGAGAAAGGGACAAAGAGTTGTCCGCCTTTTAAGTAAAAGGCAGACTTTGAAAATATGCCGTTTCCTTATTGTTATTTATAAGGAGGCTTTTTTCACATACATTTGTCTAGAATTGGTTTATATACACAATAGTTACACAAACCAAGCGGGTTTCAGCTTTCATCCTTTTAAGTCCACCATGAAAATTTAAGAAGGTCATATATAATTTCTTGGAAAATTTAGAGTTTACAGTTTCTTTCCGTATTTCATTCTATGCATATAACAGAATAATCTAAATTTTTTGCAAAACGTTTCAAAAACGTTTTATATGGGAGATAAATATGGGAGATATATTTCACACATTGTTTGCAAATATTAACCCGGGGGCATTTTTTGCCAAAGTACGCATTTAATTTCTATATTCGACTTACTTTTTTGTGATAGAAAAGGTTATGTGATAGGCTGCAGGAAAAAAATTAAACTTGAACAGCCGACATTCTCGTTTCAAGCTTCCATTGTTTAGAATTATCTTTCAATCTGGGAATATCAAGAGTTCGTTAGCCATAAATACAGCGCCGGTTTAGTCTGCACGGATGGGCTTACTTGTATTTCTATATTGGAAAAGTCTTTTCGGTTCCCGCAGTGTAAAAGTGCAGTGTTGTTATATTTACATAATTCATTTTGATCTAAGGTTATTCAAAGTTTAAATAAGGTCTATTATACAATTTTCAATCTGCCTTTATGTCTATGTAACTATATCATTAATTTTGCTTTTAAAATCTAACAGAGTCCGTCAATTCAAAGTCGTTTCAAATTACCTGACAATATATAAATTGACCCTAAACGTCTATAAACTCAACAGTGAGTGACATAACAAATTACTAAAATACATGGGAAAATTTGGTCTTAATGAAACATGTTTTGTCTTGTATTGAACTGCATGTCAATCAAAAGCTTTTTCGACGCACCTTTCGCATTCTTAAATAATATTACAAATGATCGTTTTTAGCCCAAGTTGTGGTACGAATAAAAATAATTAATAAAAGAGCTTGATTTTCCGTCAGAATGTTTGCCCCTTCAGAGCATTTTCCGTCATCATGGGCAGCCTCGAAAATACATTTTTACAGCATTTACACTTCGGACGCCTGTAACATTCTTAAGAAAAGACACACTGTGTTGTTATTTTGCATACGTGACCTAAAATGATGATTGCATGAATTATCAAAACTTATAAAACTGTGATCTGGTTGTGGCAAAATAATACCTATAGTATAATTTCTTCAATATCGATAAAACCGCAGGCAAACATGCTTGTAGACAAAAACAAATTCTGATCTACGATTATATTTTAATTGAATATTTCTAGAATGAGCTCTATGTTTTAGATCCATCTCAAGCTGGTGTCATAGATCGGATCTACGACTAAGATAACTTCAATTTCAACCAACTATTTTGTACATCACAGTTAATGCTTTTCTATATATAGATAGCTAGTCCCCAGATCATAAAGTTAATATTGACATAATACCAGTTGTTAAACATGAAATTAGATATTGCAATAATTAACGATAGTGTTGTGACATTCAACGGTAAGGAAAATTGGTGAGATAATTAACGTCATCATTGCAATATCTAACGGCAAAATATATTGAGTCATTTAGCAGCGGTTGCGACAGTAAACGGCAATATTGCGGCATTTGGAGGCAAGTGCGACATATAGCGTCGTTGCGACATATAACGGTGCCACGCCCTTTTCCATTTCTGCTTTGAATTTTATACGTACCTTAAGACCGATGGGGAAATTTCAACTTCATGAATTCTCGATTTCATCTTCGTAAATCCACATTATTTACTCGCATATTTACGTTTTCAACATAAGTAATTCATGAATTCAAGAATTCGCGATTTCAATTTCATGAATTCATGATTTCAATTCACGAATTCGACTCCACGTTTTCATGTTTTTAACTTCACAAATTCACCTTAATGAATTCAAGATTCATGTTCACGAAGTTTAAATTGTTGAATGCATGAAGTTGAATTGGTGAAGTTGAAATCGTGAATTCATAAAGTTGAAATCGTGAATTCATAAAGTTGAAATCGTGAATTCATAAAGTTGAAATCGTGAATTCATAAAAATTGAAATCGTGAATTCGTGATGATGAAATCATGGATTCATGATAGTATTGTGATAGTATTATGCTCTCATGGTTGTATAATAAATGAGTTTTCTGTGTGCTTACGGGCACCATGCATAGCAGACTGTATTTAAATACACAGGTTTCCGATGATTATGCCCTAAATGGTTCCTGTCAGAGGACAAGTCTGTAGCCAATATGTACTTGGTCATACACTAATCTGGTTTCCTAGACTCATACGTTTCCAACCATAATGGCGAACCATACTATATATAAAAACACTTATAAGACACGGAAATTTGCGAAAAATGCCCATGTTTCACGAACATATGATGGATGCATTACCTTGAGCTATAAAAATTGTTTGGTCAGATATATTTTTGTTTTATTCTCTTCACAGATTGTGGAAACTATGGCTCGACATATAGCGAATATCTTAACGTGGACTTGGCTGTTACTCATTCTGGAGAGTATCATTTTACTTCTTTGGCACGATGCCATAAATATTGTTCTGATACAAGCTCATGTCGTGGCGTCAACTACAGTCCACTTTTCAACGGCGGGATGTGTAGACTTAAATCACGATTAGACCCGACTTTATTTGTGTCGTTTAATGGCATTAACTTTTATACAAGAAATTGTGCCTAGTTGCGAATGAATTATTTCAATGAAGTAGTTTAAACTCTGTTCACGAAATCTACTTTAATAGCATAAATAAAAGTCTGATATTATTATCAATTGTTTTACAATTACATTAAAAATACAAACATATGCAATTTGAAATTGCATAACATGTCTCTAAAGATTGTCAAATATTTTTTTTTGAAATTGTATGTTAGAACATATCGCGCTTTTTAGCATATATAAATATGTTTCTGTGAATACAATGTGGATACATTATTCAAAGTATAATTAATTTTTAAATGGTTACGATTGTGATTTGTAATTCTGCTAGCTATTCAGTGTGAACTTTCTAAACCTCAGAAGATACTTAATTGTTTCCTTATATTACGCTTAAACAGTGTAATTCTGCTATTTATTGAGCGCTTTCTTATGAATTTATACCTCATTGGTTTCTAATTTGCTTTCCCCATTGTTCTTTATGAATGGAAAAATTGAGTTTATAACCATCTAAGAGATAAGGAATGTATAAAGTCACTCATAGTCACCTCAAGATTCCCATGTAAGTACGTGTAACCAGAAAGAAAATAAATCATTATGATGACATCAGGCACGCAAAAATAGCCCGAATGAGAGCTACAGCTATTTTGTATTGCAGATTAAACCGCTGTCACAATAGACCGGCGTTCTCACGGCGTCCAAAGAAAATTCAGAACGCCGTGGTGAGCGCAGTAAGATCGCAAGCATCGCCGCAGAATCGCAGTTGCATTGCATAGAACGCCGACCAACGGCGCGCATTTTCAGCATGCTCAAAACAAACGCCGTCGCTCGGCGTTCTGACAAGGGCGCAATGGGATCACAGTAAGGACGCCGTAGCAACTCAGTATAGCATCTCCTACAGCACATCAAGAGCGCCCTGAAAACACAGAAGGATCACCAAATGAATGCCGTGGTTAGCCACGCCCTTGTACGGAAATTGTGCGTATCTGACGCTTTCACACACCGAAACGCACTTTAAGACTTTAAGATTATTATTCACCTCTTTCCATCGATTAATGTACAATCCTGAAAGAAAAATGTAAGAACCTGCGGAAAGTTTTGGTTTGTTTGCCTACATAATAAAGAGATATAGTTAGTGCTATATAAGTGTTCAATTGACAGAAATTATGTTGTCCTAGGTCATTTTTTTCAACTTGATATCATTTTTACACAGACATGCTCAAAATATGACGAATTTCGAACACTTATTTATGTTTTATCATTTTTAATGATCTTCTATGATGTTATGCAAATTTTGATTCTTCAATTAAGAGTCTTAGATAAAGATTATACTTGACCAATAATAATACGTTAACTTATCGTTCTAAATTTTTGAGTACAAATTCGAAAAAGATACTTGAATGCTTACAAATTATTTTAATTTAATTCTGGTTAGTTGTGAAACAACAGACAAATAATTTCAGACGGTATAGTGCCTGACAAAATTGCGCTGGCTAGTTATAGCTATGTGGTTGGATATAGTTGGCTTAGCATTTTTGTTCTATTCAGTTTTGAAGATGCATCAACACAATTTAAACGCTGATTTTGGATAGCCTCGGTTGTTACACATTTAAAGCAACACCAGTAATCATAATTAGTCGCCTCTTGCGACCACACAGGGATAAACAGTGATGCATGTCTGATGCATTAGCACTTTAGGGCAACCCCAGCCACAAGGTGAATTGTGTTTATTTCTGTAGTAATAGTAATTAAAACCCGGTCGTTGCATGTCTGAATCTTGGTAAGTGCAGACATCAATTTCAAGGGTCAGAATAAAATAGGGTAAAAATTATAAAAAAGCCTTTGTGGATTTAGTGTCAGTTTAATAGTAAAATAATCTCCTTGAATGTCACGGGAAGGAACAGGTGGTTTGGGTCACAATATGATATTCAGTTAACAATAAAGCCTTTGTAAGGCCACTAGTGTATATTATCTCCGATAACTACTTAATAAGGCTATCTCTAGGCAACCATAAGCTATTGTCCTAAAGATTATTGTATCTAAATGATAATGTAAAAGCAATGATGTAAATTATTTTATTCATTGGAATCATTTCAAAATTTACTCTTCAAGTGCCTAAACAATATTGTACATACTCATTCAAAAGCAGAAATTCAAAACACACTTGCATGAGTTAAGGTCTGATATTTGCAGGGAAAATGCTGGATTTCATTTCAAATTTTGCATCCGAAAGTGTACCAGAGGCCACTATTTAGTACGCAATTCTATTGTTTTCCTGGGGGAAATCCCCTACCAGAATCTTCTAAAGGTATACCAAAATATTTATTTAATATTGAATTACTCATAGACAACAATTCTTGGATTCATGTTTTTACGTAAATGAAAGGTCTTGGTTGGCGCTTCCCAATTTATATGACAAATAAAGACCTTTGATGCCCCCTTACCCGCGATTTATATTACAAATTATTGACTTTTTTCTCACCGAACAATCCCTCCCCTCCAACCCCATCCTGCAATCTGAACATTCTTTCTCCTGGCCTGCATTGACGTCAGTAGTATATTTTTGAAGAACATTTTGTGGCTGGTCAAATCCATTATACTTTAGGAAAGAAAAGTTTTAAAACTCCAAATAATCTATGTCAAACGAATCGGTATTTTGAACAATACACTTAATACGATCGACTTCATAATGCAATCATATTCAATAATTATTCAATGTTATTTAATACAATCAACATTGTATTGAATATATCTTTTAATCGCAGGCACGTGTTTGTATCATATTGAGCGAAAATTCATACAGATCTGATGATCTCATTGATCTATTAGGTTTAAATTGAGGTTATGTCTTCTTTAAAACATAAAATCAAATATAAACAAAAGAACAAAAGATTCATAGCGAGACGAAATACCCTTCGAACGCTTGTAACTTAATACTATAAGGTATTCATTACCTTTTAACACTGATATCTGCTAAAAATAGAAAAATATATTACTATACTCTACTTGCATAAACCTTTAAAATATTTAACGTTAAATAATACATAGGAAAAAGAATTGAAAAGTCCAGCGCCACAGCAAGCAATAATTTTATTGTATAGTCATAAAATAGACTGCTATTAACTTTTTTATTTTTCAATGTTAGAAAAAGCATTTAGTTATTAACATCTTGGATTTGTGAAATTATTCTTTCCCATTTTGGTCGCAACTAATGGCATTTCACATACTTTTTAGATAGATAAAGGTAAAACAAATTTGTTCAAATGTTATATATTCATTGCGTCCTTGGTGGTTTGTCAAATACATTCTATAGACAAGTATAAACATGTATTTTGTCACTTTGCCACACAGCAACTATAAGTTTATTGTTTCTGTTGTCATGACACAATGAAACTGGGTTGTCCTTTGTATAACACTCATCCTTTCCAATTTGTCCTACTTTCTTTCGCTGTATATCAATTTGCATCACCCTGTCAGAATTTTTCTCTGTCACAAAAATGTATCCCTGGTGTCCATGACATAGTCTATAGGGTTGGCATAAATTTTCCGATATGATATCAACAACAGTTCCATGTTTGTTAAGAACAACTATGCCTTTCTTCTCATCAGCACAATAAATGACATCTCCTTCTTTGCTTACACACATGTCCTCAATATTGGTTACATCGACAGGTTTAAATTTCGAAATTTGTTTGCCTGTATCGTTATAAACTTCAACTGTGTCAGAAGTGCATCCGAATAATTTATGTTTAGCACAAGCGATACCTTTAAACAAATGTTTAATTTCAAACAATATCTGAATGTCTATTCCACAATTTAAGTCGACTAAGTAAAATTCATAGTTAATGCATGCGATGATCACCTGATTTTCTTTAACGAAGCACACTAAATATGGATTACTAGGTAATTCATGAGTCATAATAATTTTGAAAGTTTCTTCATTCATTATTTTGAGTTCATTGTTTTCAGAGTCAGCCAGTATCAACTTTTTATTGTCTAGCTGGACTATTCCAGTAACAGCACACGTCTTTGTATTAAAATTTGTTCGAATATAATACATTCCGTATTTTTGAAGTTTCCCAAACTTGGCTTGCAGACATCCCAATTCTTCTTGTGCTATACCTAAAAGCAGTTTGTCATTGTAAAATTTCGTAGTTTTTACTTGTCTGCCTGGATTTGAAGGTTTCCGAACCTCGTTTGTTTTTGGTGATCTAGTTGACATGTCTTTTATAATATTTTTCCTTTCGTTCTGATCACCGTCCGTATCACTTTTCGAAGGCACTTGTGTGAACTGGAACCTTTCAAGTTGTTGGAGATCTGCGACTTTGCTTATTCCTGTTCTATTTAAGTCTTTTGCTGGCAGTTCTGAATTTCTTAAAAAGAAAGAAAAGAACGATGCATATTAACAGAAATTTCACAACACTAAAATTGTTGATCATCGAATTTGTGTCTAATTTGATATCAATGAATTGTGTCAAACAGTTATTCAGAAGTATACTTATACAACACTATAACGTTAGTAGATACTACATGAAAGGGTTCTAAAACACAATAGAAGTTCTTAACAAAATTAAAGAAACATGAAGACATTACAAATTAATATATCTTATCGCAAACAACTTATATTGAAATTATAGTTCTATTTACGAAACATACCCTTCACTTTTCACAGATAAAGTGACAACATCATGATCTTCATGCCAATGGTTGTGATCTTTAAGACAAATATAACACATATATTGACGTCTGTGCCTACAGTCATTGCAGAAATGGGTGGCTTCTACTTTTCTGCACTTCAAACATTGTTCTGCTATTTTTTCTTTGCTGATATTCACCTCTGTTCTATTCACCTCACCAAACAAAGATGAATGACATGAAACATCAGCTTCCGCAATGTCACTTAAGACATTTCCGTCTTCACTCTGGAAACCTTTGACAGTTAGGACTGAACTTGACATTGTCTGTCTGCTAGTTTCACACACTGAACGAACTCCTCGGATTGAAGCAAACGAACTTGAAAAGTCATCTTCAGCATTTTCATTTGATCCTGCTGTTTCTGTAGCAGTTTTATTTTCACGACTTGCCATACCGTTACTTATTAAACTTACAACGTATTTTAACAATCCACATTCAAGGCAGAATAATAAGCAATATGTCAATCTTGACACAAAAAATATTAAAGTTTATTAATACGAATGATCAGCTTAATATCTTCCTGTTTCGTATGTAATACAATACAATAAATGCAGTTATTCATAATTTAAAACAAAAGAACAATCACCCCTTAAATATTAACGTTTAACTATAATAATTATATTTTCAGTGTCATTATACCTTTCAAAACTCAATTGTTGGTTAACGTTGCGTAACTTTATTAATTCATATAGTTTTAAATGCGAATGATACTCGTCTACCAATATTTGTTCTTCAATGTACCCTAAATGGCGAATTTTAAATACCTTAAACTTTTTATCATAAAAGGTGAAAATGAGCATATATTAACAGAAAACTTACAGTAACTGTTGTGTTTTTGGACTCACTTCATGACGCTAGTATCTATTCATTTCTTCCAAAAGTTTGGAACTATTACAAGTACTCGATTAGTGAGTATTTTATAACCTGTGTTTACGTTATATTAAAATATACACAAAACAGCCATCATACAGAACGTCAATAGTAACAGCAAAATCAACTAAAACGGGCCCTTGATGAATATGCATCCTATTTACAGTAGTCAATGATAAAATGTACAAAAAGGTTTTTGATAAACATAAACGATCGCAACTTTTCAGCCCTTTAGGACCTAAAATCAATTGTAGTATAATTATTATGATTTACACAGAGCCGATGCGGTATTTTGGTCTAACGTACGCTACAAATCCTAATCATATAAACAAATCATGAAATAATTATAAGGTGGGAGTTGTTGACCACGTGTATTCCACACATCATGTCAAAGTCCAGTTGAATTAATTAAGAAAATTGATAGATATACAAATTAAACAGTACTTATTATTATTTTTCTAGAAACTAATTCTGCTTATGTTTACCTGTTGAAGATATATCATATTTGGATATAATAATAGGCATTTCTATATTGAATCTGATTGTCAGACATTTTTTCAGTCATAATTTTACCGAAATAGACTTTATTTCCATTTGGATGTCACAAAGTACATTAGTTAATAATGATATACGCTCATTTTTGAAGTCACGTGATATAGCTTTTTTCAATTCGTATTAAGTTCGAAATGATTATAACAATTTTCGAGGTGTTTTGATTGATGCATTTTAGGGAAACATAACACCGAAGGGCCTTGATTAGTGTGTATGTGTCTGTATGTGTACGTGTGTCTGACTATGCGTGCGTGTGTATGTGTTTTGTTTTATTGTTCTGTTATTACATAAATTTATCTCATAGATGGCGTCCCAGGACTAATTCTGTGAAAACTATACATGTATTTAGTCAAACTTTCAGCATTTTGGACGCAAATTTTCAAAGTTTTCATTTATTCATATAATCGAAAACGAACGCACGTGAGAGCTGTCATAGTCATGGGTAATCAAAATTAATGTTTCATAAACAGGTTAAAAACCTTGAAAAAAACACCGGGGCATCATTAAGAAAAACAAAAACAACAAAAAATTACGTTACCTGCTTTTGCAACGCTGTTAGACATATCAATTATTTCAAGCCGTTTCAACTGTTTCTTTTTGTATTTTGATGTTGCAATCAACAGTTCTTTTCAGTAATACACTTATATTTGTGTTCATCTGAGGGGCATTTTAATTTGTTGTTTTAACGAACTGCATCAGTGCCAGTCGTAACATGAATTTTAATCTTGTGTTCATTTAATTGATTTCCGCGAGGGATCAAATGTAAATGTAAATGATAATTGAAAATGTTGACATCATCTTAACTTAACTTGTTAACGTAAAAGGAAACATATTAAAAGTTTTTACAAGCTATTACAGTAAAAACCCGCTTTACGACCACCCCGTTTTCGAGACCAACCCGCTAATACGAACGATTTTTTAAAGACCCGAATTTTTTATTCTTTATTTTAATGGTCGCTAACCCCGATTTTGAGACCACCCCGTTATTCCGTAATGCGACCAGTAAATTCAGTCCCATTTCGTAAATTATGTACATTTGGACACCCATAAATACGACCGCGGGCACTTTCTCACCTTGATATTGACATGCGTGTATATTGCTGAAATCTTTTTGACACGTGATGTAAACAACAGTTGTCCTAGTTTTACGACATTTAACGACATCCCGTTTACGACAGAGAGTCAAGGTTACTTTGTATCAAACCCGGAAATGATCAATAATATTGTCGATAATTTCTTAATTTCACACCTTTAATGTCATAACTGGGGAATTAAAACAACAAAGTATTGAACAGAAAACTTTCAATAAGTTTTTTAGAGGTGTTGCTGCTATCATTATCTCTTTCGTTCCATAATTTTAAACAAAATACGATTAGGTTTTTGAAGTTGTTATCGGCGATGAAAACTGTGAAAATAATTAAAGGTTTATTGTTCGGTGTGCTTTGTAGTAAAATGGTGATTTAATAGAGTAAGTCGTGTCATTCTTTTAATAAGAATGTTAAAATATGTTTGTGTTTAAAGACATTCATAATACATTTTGTACCTCTAAAGAAGTTAAAAAAATTTATAATGTTAAAAAGTAAAAGAAAATAAATGAAAATAAAAAAATAATAGTGTATGCTTTATATCTTCTCATTTGAAATAGGTTAGCCCAGAATTAAACATGTGTACAGTACATGGTATCCCTTAATATATTGCCTAGTTTTCTGTTTGGCCAAACTCATTAATGAGACCAACCCGCTATTAAGACCAGATTTGTAAAGTCCCTTCATTGGTCTCATTAGCGAGTTTTTACTGTACAAATTATATTACAAATTATTGATTATTTCTCACCGAAAAATCCGTCCCCTTCGACCCCATCCTGCAATCTGAACATGCTTTCTCCTGGCTTGCTTTGACGTCAGTAGTGTACTTTTGAAGAGCATTTTGTGGCTGGTCAAATCCATTATACTTTAGAAAAAAAGTTTTAAAACTCAAAATAAACTATGTCAAACGTATCGGTATGGATACAATTAATACGATCGACTTCATAATACAATCATATTCAATAATTATTCAATGTTGTATCATAGTTTGGGGACCTTTCTGTTGAAAATGTGTCCGAGTTAAATCGTATACATATACTATGCGTTTACTGGAGTGCAGGTATTAGTTACCCGCACTCCAGAGCATGCACATCGATTGGGTCATTTTTGCCGCGGTTTACTTATTGTGACGGCAGAGAAAGGGAAAGCGACAGAAATATCATATTCAGATGCTCATTCATTGGTTACTTGTTTCTCGGATTTCATGTTGTGACAACAGGGAACGAGTTTTTATGTCTGACTATGATACAAAAGAGAAAGAACATCAAAACACTCGGCAATCTGATTTATACTCGGGGGCTACGCCCCTTCGTACAAATCAGATAGCCTCGTGTTTCGATGCTCTTTCTATTACTTATTTAATACTATTAACATGGTATTAAATATATCTTTACATCGCAGGCACTTGTTTGTATCATATTGAGCGAAAATTAACACAGATCTAATGATCTCAGTGATATATTAGGTTTAAATTGAGGTTATGTCTTCATTAAAACATAAAATATATTACAAACACAAGAACAAAGATTCATAGTGTAACAAAATACATTTCAAATACCTTGTTAACTTAATACTATAAGGTATTTATTACCTTTTTAAAAACTGATATCGGCTAAATGTAAAAAATAGTACTTAACTTATAAAATAAGTACGTCGTACAATACTATTGATTCAATAATTGCTTTTAATTTTTTGTTTTGAAAACAAACTTCAATTTTAGGCTAGTACTGATATACAAATATAACTTTATTTTTTGCAAATATTGTTACAGAAATATGAAACAATACATGGGAAAACGAAGCCACAAAGAAACAATTCTTTTATTTTATAGTCATAAAACGGACTGATTATAATTTTCTTTTTATATTTAAATGTTAAAAATGCATGAATGTATATGTCAAATTATTCTCTCTTTTTTTTTGGTAGAAACTAAAGGCATATCACATACTTTTAAAAAGATAAAGGTTAAATATATATTATAATTAATAATTATTGTTATATTCGTTAAAATGTTTTTTTTTATATAAATTGTTTCTATAGAACTTGTACGTCGATCATAGTACGAATACATCACATAAAAGTATAAACATGTATTTTGTCACTTTGCCACACAGCAACTATTAGTCTATAGTTTCTCTTCTCATGGCACAAAGAAATATGGCTATAAATAAAAATATCATCATTTCCAATTTGTCCCACATCTTTTCGATGTATATCAAATCTCATCACCCTATCAGAATTTGTTTCTGTAACAAAAATGTATCCTCGTTGTCCATGACACAGTCTATAGGGTTGGCATAAATTTTCCGATATGATATATACAACAGTTCCATGTTTGTCGAGAACAACTAAGCCTTTCTTCTCATCAGCACAATAAATGATGTCTCCTTCTTTGCTTACACACACGTCCTCAATATTGGTTACATCGACAGGTTTCAATTTAGAAATTTGTTTGCCTGTACCGCTAAATACTTCGACTGTGTCAGATGTGCATCCGAATAATTTTTGTTTAGCAAAAGCGATACCATTAAACAAATGTTTGATTTCAAACAATAACTGAATGTCTATTTCACCATTAAAATCGACTAAGTGAAATTTATAGTTTATACATGCGACGATAACCCTGTTTTCTTTAACGTAGCACATTGAGTATGGACTACTAGGTAATGTATGAGAACCAATAATTTTAAAGGTTTCTTCATTTAAAATTTTGAGATTACTGTTTTTAGAGTCAGCCAGTAACACCTTTTTATTTTTTAGCTGGACTATCCCTGAAATAGCACATGTCTTTGTATCAGAACTCGTTCGTATCGAGTATATTCCGTCCTTTTGAAATTGACCATCAGATTTGCATCGCTGCTTTGTTTTTAATTCGTGTGCTATGCTCGGATAGAACTCGTCCTTGTTAAATTTCTTGCTGATTACTTGTCCGCCTTGATTTAAAGGTTTATGGCTTTCATTTATTTCTGTTGATCTAGTTGATATGTCTGTTACAATATTTTTCTTTTTGTTCTGATCACCGTCCTTGTCAACTTTCGAAGGCAATTTTGAGAACGCAACCATTTTAAGTTGTCTGAGATTTTCTTCTTTGCTTGTTTCTGTTTTATTTAAGTCTTTTGCTGGCAGTTCTAAATTTCTTTAAAAAGCAAAGGACGATGTATAAAAGTAATTTTACAAAACCAGCCAACATTGTTAATAAAGAATTTGTATCTAATTTAATATCAATGAAAAGTGTTTAAAAGTAATTCAGAAGTATACTTCCAGAAAAATATAATGTAAGTTGCCAAACGCAATATATGTTGCAAACAAAATTGAGGAAACATTTAGACATTACAGAGTGATATTTTATCGCAAATATTTGATTGAGATTTTAGTTGGATGTACAAAACATACCCTTCATTTTTCACAGATAAAGTGACAACAACATGATCATCGTGCCAATGGTTGTGATCTTTAAGACAAACATAACACATATATTGACGAGCGTGTCTACAGCTTCTGCAGAAATGGGTGGCATCTGCCTTTTCGCATTTTGAACATTGTTCTGCTATGTTTTCTTTGCTGATATTCACCTCCGTTTTGTTTACCTCGCCAATACAAGGTAAATGATATGTTTCATTTTTAACATCCTCCTCTGCAATTTCACTATAGACATTGACGTCTTCACTATGAGAACCTTTGACAGTTAGGAATGAACTTGAAATTGATCGTCTGCTAGTTTCACACACTGAAGGAAGAGGCCCTCGGATTGAAGCATATACTTTTGAAAAGTCATCTTCTGCATCTGCCTTTTCGCAATTTAAAAATTGTTCTGCTATGTTTTCTTTGCTGATATTCACCTCCGATTTATTTACCTCGCCAATTAAATGTAAATGATATGTTTCATCTTTAACATCCTCGTCTGCAATTTCACTATAGACATTGACGTCTTCACTATGAGAATCTTGGACAGTTAGGAATGAACTTGACATTGATGGTCTGCTAGTTTCACATAATATAGAAAGAGGTTCTCGGATTGAAACATACAAACTTGAAAATTCATCTTCAGCATCTTCATTTGATCCTGGTCTTATTTTAGCAGTTTTATTTTCATGGCTTGCCATACCTTAACTTACCCTGTATTTCAACAATCCACATCCCAAGCAGTTAGATATGCCGTTAGTTTTATATCTCCTTAAATGTTAACACTAAAATGTTTAGTAATACTAATACAAATGATCCGCTTAATCTCTTTCTGTTTTTGCTTGTAGTACAATACAAAGAAAGCATTTAAAACAAAAGAGACTCCGTTGATTTGGAAGAACGATCGCTTGTCAAGTGTTATCATTAAACTATATATATTTAGAGTGTCAAAATACCTTGATCGTTTGTTGACGTTGCCAAAATTTATTAACTTTATTAATTCGTATATTTTCAAACACTTTTATTTTTTAATCTGACTGGTCTACAAATATCTATTCTTCAAGGTACACTGAATGGCGAATTCTAAATATCTTAAATTTTAATTTTAATAAACTTTTATTAACAGAAACTTACAGTAACTGTTGTGATTTTGGACACGCTCCAGAACGTAAGTATCTCTTCATGTCTTCCAACTGTTTGGAACTATTACAATATCACTCCTATCGATTAGTTAGTAATATATAACCTGTGTTTACGTTATATTAAAATATACACCAAACAGCTATTATACAATAGTAACAGGAAAAACAACTAAAACGTGTTCATGTTGACTATGCATCAAATTTACAGTAGTTTATGATAAAATATACAAAAAGGTTCTTAATAAACATACACAATTGCAACTTTTTAGCCATTTAGGACCTAAAATATATTGTAGTGTAATATAATTTAAACAAAGCCGATGCGGTATTTTGTACCTACGCTACACATCCGTAACATATAAACAAATTCATGAAGTCATTAAAACGTGGTACATAACTTTAAAATCCACCTGAATTAAGTAAATTGATAGATATTAGACAGTACACTATTTATATATTATTTATTACTATATTTCTATAAACCGAATTTGCTAATGTTAACCTGTTGAAAATATATCATATTTGGATATAATTGTGCAACAATTGGCATTTCTAGATTGTGTCAATCAGACTCAATCTAGAAATGCCAATTGTTGTCAGACTTTTTTTTTTAAATAATAATTCTACCGAAATGGACTTTATTTCCATTTGGATGTCACAAAATACATTACTTAATAATGATATACGCTCATTTTTGAAGTCACGTTATATGGCTATTTTCAATTCGTATTAAGTCCGAGATGATTTTAACGATTCTCGAGGTGTTCCATTAATACATTTAGGGCAACATAACACCGAAGGGCCTTGATTAGTGTGTATGTGTTCGTGTGTCTGAGTATGCATGCGTGTGTATGTGTTTTGTTTTTTGTTCTGTTTTGACATAAATTTATGTCATAGATGGCGTCCCAGGACTAATTCTGTGAAAAATATACATGTATTCTTCAAATTATCAGCATTTTGGAGGCAGATTTTCAAAGTTTTCCTATATTCATATAAGCGAAAACGACCGCGTGTGAAAACTGTCATATTCATGGCTAATCAAAAGTATTTTTTCATAAACAGGTAAAAAGTTTAAAAACACCGAGGCATCATTAACAAAAACAACAACAACAAAAACCTCCAAAAACAAGCCATTGTGTTACCTACTTTTGCAACGCTCTGAGGCATATCAATTATTTTAAACCGTTTCAACTGTTTCTTTTTGTATTTTGATGCTCTTTAACGGATTGAATCAGTGCCAGACATACATGTACCATGAATCTAAATATTGTGTTCATTTAATTGATTTCTGTGAGGGATCAAATGCCATTTAATTGAAAAAGTTGACATTATCTTAACTTAACCGGTTAACGTAAAAAGAAGCATAATTAAAGTTATTACAAGTTATTACAAATTAAATGCTTTATTCTTTCATACTTATCCTAATATATTCATAATGTGGAATATCTTTCGAAAGTACAGTAGATGAAATATACAATAATTCTGTATTAATAAAGAATAAATGTATCCTAGACTTAGCCTGACATGAAGTTTAAGTATAACAATTCTAATAAATCTATTTTAACTTTATGGTGGTGGTCTCTTTCAATGTTGATGATGGTTCTCAAGTACAAATTTTGTAGACGTAAAATCTATAAAACTATTAGATGAATACTGAAAACATAAAAGTAGGAAGGAAAGGTGACGACGGAGTTGTGTAAACAAAGTAAAAATAGCATTTTTATGATATAATTATAATGATTATGGAAATACTGGTTATAATCATCATTAATTATCGTTAAAACAGCATTTCTCTACAGTATAGAAATTATAGTGGTTGACATCGATTATTAGATTACAATACATTTTGTACGTAAAACAGTTTTCTTTACAGTTGAATAGATACCCAATCCATTAGATCTTGATATTTGTTAAGGTATGTATTTTAAATAAACTTAAGTACTTACTTTTTTGGGGATTCTTAGGGTTCTATTTAATTGTTCTATGCTATAAATGATGTAAGCAATCAATTAGTTGTAATTCCGCCCGAAATTATAAATAGCTTGTAATAGTTTTCAATGTTTCAATTACATCATAATGACGAAATTATCAATATCGGATTGTGATTTGGCATCGAAAACGAAATGATATTTCCTTGATAGTCAACAGCATCAAGTAAACACATAATAGTAAGAAAAAATAATGTTTATAATGCGTAATAATTTATAGTTAATCACCTAAAACATCAGTAGGTTTAGACCCATTAGATGTTTGTTAAAAAAGATGACAAAGGGCTTTAGTTAAGTACGATACTCAAGTTACAATTTGTCGGACGACTTATAGTTAATCTTATAGTGAGCATTCTCTGCGAATTTAAAGGTCAAAGCTTTTAGCATTTGTCTACAATCTTAATATCCCGTGATGCAGTATTCCCGATCATCAAAGACAGAAGTCATAACTCACATATGAGACTGTTCCGTCATCCTTTTTAGGCTAGTTCTGATGTTTGTTTAAATGTCAAATTTAACTATTCATATTTTTGATACATGCTATCACGTTCTTCACAATCTATAGTTTCTAGCACATTAGTGAATCTGATAATTTACACCTAAGTGTCGTAAAAGAGATCCGTAACGAAGGTACTACAGGGAAGGTTCCTTGATCACAAATGAATCTATTCAACAACAGAAGTTTCGAAATTTGCATTCATGGTAAATATACATACATCACCTGGACATTTTAAATGGGTTCATCCTAATAAATATTATTAAAGGCGTTTTAGGAAGTTTTCATATATACATATAGGTATGATTTAAACTGTTCAATAAAATTTCTTTAAACTTGTCATGAAGTAGAACTGATGAACAGTTTTTATGTTGCCTATGTGTCTATATAAAATTTCCCGAAAACGTGTTTAAATGTGTTTTTCCTCATTTTTGCAAAATATTAAACCATATTCAAATCATTTTAGTACAACTCTTTTCTAGAGATTTATTAACATTGTTTAATTTGAACATTTTTTGACATTTAACAATTGACATCATGCCAATAACAATTAATAGACAAAATTGATAAGCAAATTACGGATATGCCCCACTATCTGTTATAAAATTCATAAACAGTATTCGTTGATCAATGTACTTAGTAATGATTTTTGAAATCAAGAATAAGAAAATTTCTTATCAAATTACAAAAAGAAAATTATAGATTTCTACTCTTTAAGAAATCTAATAATTTAATTTATAACAGAATCCTTTTCTTGGTATTGTCTTTGTTTTGTTAGAATTTAAATTTAGCACCCAATTTATCATATGCAGAGACATCTATTATAAAATATCTGCTTTTGCAAATTTCAAATACACTATTTCCTCAATTTAATCATAGATCAGAATCTCTATGTCAATGGAAGACGTTTCGTTATCTTTTCAATCTGTTTTTGCTGTGGGCTGTTTTGAAACCTTATTTGAATGATGATATAAAACACAGCAAATTTTTTTTCAACATTTTTTGACATTTCATAAAACCGTATTGTCTTCTTTTAAAGCAATGTCAATAAATCACATCGAATTATGTGGAAGTAAATTGCTTCGATTTATATCTGTATAAATATCCGTATTGTTGAAGATTTTGTTGCAGTTAAAAAAAGATGTCCCATTTTGTATGATTTATTAAAACGAATATATCCTTAACAAATCATGTATGATTGTATAATTTTTAATGTTTTGAAATATGTTAGCATGTAGGGTTTCACCACAAATACACAAAAACATGTAAAGAGTTGCATAATGATCTTTACATTGTAGGTATAATATTATAATTTAAAACTGACGAAATATGCTCCAAATTGAAAAAAGAAAACAACAACAATAAAACTGTGCATAAAATTATGGTCATATGTGATATCTTTAGCAAACAATGTTTCTGTTATTTAATGCCAATAACAATTAATAGACAAAATTGATAAGCAAATTACGGATATGCCCCACTATCTGTTATCAAATTCATAAACAGTATTCGTTGATCAATGTACTTAGTAATGATTTTTGAAATCAAGAATAAGAAAATTTCTTATCAAATTACATACAACAAAATTATAGATTTCTACTCTTTAAGAAATCCAATAATTTAATTTAAAACAGAAACCTTTTCTTGGTATTGTCTTTGTTTTGTTAGAAATTAAAATCAGCACCCAATTTATCATATGCAGAGACATCTATTAGAAAATATCTGCTTTTGCAAATTTCAAATACACTATTTCCTCAATAATAAGTTTTCAGTTTTCAATCTGTTTTTGTTGTGGGCTGCTTTGAAACTTTATCTGAATGATGATATAAAACACAGCAAATTGTGATGTGTAAATTTATAAAGAATACGGTATTTATTCAAATTAGGTATTTCATTTTTAATTCCTAGTTCATTTTCGTTTGTTAATTCTACAAAGGTTTTCAATTAACACTGAAACTCATTTAAAATAATAACATATTTATTATAACATGTATTTATATACTTATCTTAATAAATCACCTATTTGGTTTGCCGATTCAAATGTTTGTAAGACCGTGTTAAGAATATGACACATACATATTGTCAGTCAATACTTTTATTTATATACTTTTAGTACTTTTGCACTTTTATATAGTTTTAGTGCAACAAAATTTGAAACTCGATCTTATTGTTAAATATTATTCTATG